TAGCTTCCCATCGCTAAATAAAACAATCTTACTGCTATCAGCCAAACATCCACATTTCTAAAACATTACCTGCAATTACTCATTTGGGATCACACGGAGCATCAACATCGCACCCTTACTGCGAATAATCTGGCAGGAGCCTCCTGAAAAAGATGTCCGAGACTGACACCCGTCACCATAGTTTTAGTTTTAATCCCAACACATTACAATTACCCTCAATCGTTGCTTGTCATTAACATTCAAATCACGCGTGGCTTATTAAGACAAGAGTAACAGTCTAATGAGAACAATTCAGAAATGGCAAACGATGCTCATTGGACACATTCCAAAAGATGAAAGCCTCTTTGAACGAGGCTCTGGCCGGGCGAGGCTAAGATGAAGAAAAAGGTAAATTCTGCTTGACGACGTGAAGAATGGGAGGACGTGCTGGGAAATGAAGGCGACAGCTTAAAATCCGACAGGGTGGAGAGAGGTTGAGCGTTTGGCTAACCATCGAACCAACACGGTCACTTCATCACGCTCTTTCAGATGCACTTCTGCGGCCGTCTAAAACGCTCTTTCTTCCGATATTAGGAAGCCACTGAAGCTATGCACTTTTAAATCTAGGTTGAAAAACTAATTTCTTTAGAATGGCTTTGCTTTAGAAATTTTTTAGTTTGTTGCCTTTCCCCCGGCACCTCCGATTGGCGCAGTTGGCTATGTACGGTGCGTAAGAAGTCCAACATCCATACATAATACAGCGACCTGCCAATGGGATGAGGACTAAAACGAACAGGACATCGTGGGCTCTACAGTGGAGCCTCAGCAGCCCGGAGAGTCGCCTCTTACTTGAACTTCTCGGCCAGGATTAGGAAGCCGACGAAGAAGACCCCGAGGAAGCCCGTGACACCGATGAGAGCCGGGACCAGAACCTCGTCCAGGGAGCTCATGTCGCCTTGAGGAGCCCCATGCGGTAGGCAGGTTCGGTAAATGTTGCGTGAATCCAAGCTGGGGCGGCCACTTCCAAACGAGACTTTATCTCCTTGGCAGCCAAACGCGCACGTTCACTTTGAACACCTCACGCACTGGGCTTGCCTCGTGATGAACACGAGAGGACGGCCTACCCTGGCTCTATCGGACAGCAGATGCCCTTTGCTGGAGGTCATTTAGTTATTTGCGGTTGAGCTGTGGAAAAGGCTGTCTCTGGGCCAGGCAACATCCGATAAAACAGCGCGTGTCTAAGTTCTCTAAAAGTAGCACGCGTAAGATATTTTCCCCCAATAAAGCCAACCTTTGTACAATACTTGGCTTTTAAAAGGCAATGATACCATAAAGACCGTAACCCTGATGTATCCTTCGTTAATAAGTAGCGTATGGTGGCTTTTTCAACATCAGCTCATGTTTACTCATTATCTAGATGCGGAGCTCTGCTTGTGGTTCTCACTGGTAGCGTGGAGTCTTGGCCCTGCTGAATTTGCAGTTATCGCTTCCCACAGAGCCGTTCTACTCGCCTATTCGCAGTATCTCGCACTTGACGGGTGCGCCTTGCAAGATACAGAGGGTGGCTTGCTTAATGGACATTTTCCACAACGAAGAATCGGCCTAGAGCCACAACCTCGTGTGTGACCTGACCAACAGGGGGCTACTGCACTGCCAGAACGAGGGCATCTCAACCACCACAGCCACCACCAGAGGTCACCAGTAAACACACCTCAACGAAAACGGCCGTCACGGCTCAGGAGGCTGACGGAAAATGTATATTTTAAGTAAAATATAAAGGGGAATATGTTGGGAATGGCCATACAAATAAATATATCCCAACACAAATATCATGAAGACTGCCATACAGGAGAAAAATACAGTATATAATATCACAAAATAGTAAGAATGACCACTATTTATCCGGGATAACCGCACCGAGTCGAGAAACGATTTTGCATCCACATTGGGAAGTTTGTCCAATGCCGTGAGTAGTCGACTTAACGTAGGAGGGGACCAGGGGAGGAGGAGGCAATTGCACTCAAAGCTATGCACATTTTAACATACAACATTTGGCTGCTCTGCCATGATTTGACTGCTATACATTTCCACATGATAAGCCACTTCGTTGAGCTATCATTTGTGGCCATGTCGCATGTAAAAAAAAATAGCTCAGTGGGCTTTACCTGGTAATATCAAACATTGTTTAGTTTTAGTTTAAATTTTTTTAGTGATTTTCTTACCTTTCCTACACCTACTCTTGGTTCTTTCGGTAAAGTCACGTAGAAAGAAAATAAATGTAATAATAGAATACGACGTTTCGATTGCATCGCAAGCAATCGTCATCAGGTAGAACTAAATTTGAGAGAGAGACAACACACAGACACAGAGACACACAGACAGACACACAAGCACCTATAGTTTGTTTTATTGTTTATTGTGGTAATGCTCTGACCCGCCTCTACTGGACATCTGTGAAAAATAGTTTTATAGCTCATCGGATTTCTCCAGGATAATAAAGATTCTGACTGCCATCTTTCGGCCACTTTGCAGCCCCCCCAGCGTGTAACACTCAGCACGGTGCTGTATTATTCCTCGGCAAGCCCGGCATTCATTCCCCATCGAACAGACTCAAGTTTCGGGGAATTCATCATATGATGATAAAGATTTGACTTAAAGTTTGGGGAGCACACTTTGTTATGAAAACGTTAAAATTATTGGCTGGCAGCTGCCATGCCGTCTCTTGTCGTGTTCCTTCGGTACAAACTCACGCAGTGGCCAATTCGTTGTTGCTTGTAGCAAGGGCGATGGCTGCAGGCAACCGGGGATCTGGGCTCAGCAGCAGCGAGAGAGAGAGCTACGTGATGAAGGGAAGCTTTGGCGCTGGCTGAGAGTGAAAACAACCATGACGGCAGAGCTGCCCTCAACATTGACAAAGCCCTAAAGCCTGTCCAGAAAGCCCTGGCTGGACCTCAGCCGTGCCGTGATCTCGACCCGATCCCCAGCCCTTCACAGTGGACGCCTCTGATCTTCCGAAGGACAGATTTAATAAAATTAACCCGTAAAAACAAAGTTTTTCACTATAAATCCTTTATATGCGTGGCGGCTAGAGTCCTCTCGTCCTCTGGCTTGAGATGGCTGCCACCTATGGGTCAGATGATTGCCTGCCACCATTAAGCAATTGGTAATTAAATATAATTAATTTTTTCCTAAAAAGTGTAAAATTTGGGAAAACTTTTCTTCACGAAAATAAATTGTCACGCACAACGAGTCTGTGTGGAAAATGTCAGCTCGATTGGATCACGGGAAGTGGGTTAAAAAACGACCGAAAGATTTGCACGGTCGTAAGCGCGCAAGCAAGCAAGTGAACTTAATATAAAGGATTTAAAAACAGTGCCATTGCCATTCGAAAGACCCCCCCACCCAGCTCGCCCTGGTATTTTATGACCGTACGAGTTCCAGAGTTTCCCCGTGCATTCGTGAGCCGAGGGGCCGTCCATAAATGACGTCACGCACCTGGGGGGGGGGGGTGAGACATTTGTGACGATGTGTGACGAGAGGGGGGGGGGGGTTGAGAAATGTGACGTCACATCAAAATGCGCAACTTTAAATAAATATAGACAACACGTTCTACTTAATTAAGCATACTTTTTAATAAATGTTTAAATCGATTTGAAGCATGTTTTATTTTGAAGTGGGGGGGGGGGGCAGAGATTTGTGACGTCATATTTGAGGGGGGGGTCTGACTTTTTGTGACGCCGCGTGACGAGGGGGGGGGGAGGGTCAAAAATCGTCCAAAATCGCGTGACGTCATTTATGGACGGCCCCCTAGTCACAGGTGGGTCTCGGGCGGCGAGCGGCCACTACGTTGCGCCCGTGGACGATGTGAACGCAATTTGGCGACCTGATTTGGGTGTCAGTGAGAACAGGAGGTGACCGCTTTTATTTTCCCACGATGTTCTGACCCGCCCCGACTGGCCATCCGCGTATTAAAACAAGAAGAGCTTTACATTCTAGATTTGAAGCTTTCGTGACTGCAAGGAATTCATACTTTTAGGTTTTTTTCGGTAAAGTCACGTAGGTAAAAATAAAAGTAAATAATAAAAATAATAGAAATAATAATAGAAATAAAAAAGAATAATCTAAATAATAATAGGAATAAATATTTATAAATAAATTATTTAGATTTTTAGCCCTATTATTTTAATTACTTATTATTTCTATTTAAAGCTTTCGTGACTGCAGGGATTCATCTTCTTGGTTCTTTCGGTAAAGTCACGTAGAAGGGAAATAATAAAATAATAAAAATATATAAATAAATAAATAATTCTCACGACGTTTTCTTTTTATTATTTCCCTTCTACGTGACTTTACCGAAAGAACCAAGAAGATTTCTATTATTATTTATATTTCTATTATTATTAAGAGCTTTACAGCTCATCGGGATACCTGCCGTGTTTAAATAAATATCCTTGATTCCGAAACGCGGTCGCGCCATTGGCTGACTAGAAACTGCGGTGACGTCACTTAACGGCTTCCTCTGCCGCCATCTTGCTCGGGGACGCCGGGGCCCAGCGAATCGGATTGGTGGTGACGCGCGGCGTGGGGACGTCACGACCAATCACGTTGCAGCACGGGGGGCGGGGGGGGTATTGGGTGGGAGTGGGAGGATGGGGTGGGGTGGGGTGGGGGTGTGGGGTGCAGGGTGGAGGAGTGGGGGGAGTGGGAGGAGTGGAGTAGGGGGTGGGAGTGGGTGTGGGGTGAGAGTGGGGGGTGGGAGTGGGGGGTGTGGGATGGGGTGTGAGAGTGGGGGGTGGGGGGTGCGGGGTGGGGGTGCGGGGTGGGGGTGTGGGGTGGGGGGTGGGAGTGGGAGGGGGGAGTGGGAGGGGGTGTGGGGTGAGAGGGGGGGGTGGGAGTGGGGGGTGGGAGTGGGGGGGGTGGGGTGTGACAGTGGGGGGTGGGGGGTGGGGGGTGGGGGGTAGGGGGTGTGGAGTGGGGGGTGGGAGTGGGGGTAGGGGGTGGCGGGGTGGGAGGTGGGGGGAGTGTTGGGGGGGAGTGAGGGGGGGAAGTAACCTCCCTACTTAAGATGGCCGCCTGAGGCGCGCGCTCCCAGCGACTGGCGGGGCCGTTTGAAATCGGCGAGGAGTGCGAGCAGCAGGCGACACAAAATCGGCGAGAAGTGGGACCACCGATTCCTCTCTGCCCGAGTGGAGCCCCTGACCCTCATTGCCCTAGAAGCACCCTAACTCTACTCCTTTACCCTGTCGGGACAACGAATCATCATCATATCGGAACTCCCAACCATTTGTTTGGCCGTAACGCAATCGGCGGCGACTGGGTAACCAACCCCGGACCCCATCGTGACCCTGACGACGGTGCCGGGACCCCGATCCTGCGACACACAAATCCTCGCCATGTGAACAAGAATCTCCGCGTGGACCCAGAGAAGAAGAAGCAGCAGCAGCAGCAGCGACGGCCATGGTGAGCGTCTTCTCGCCCTGCACACCGCCTTGTTACTAGTTTAGTTGCCGCCGAGGATGACCCCTGACCTCGCGGTGGTGGTCTGTGTGGGTTTGTGATAAAGAAGGTGGCCGCTACGGTGTTTCTCGTAACTTGTGTGACACAATGCTGCCGTGTTCGTGAGCAAGCCCCCCTGTGCCCGAGTGAGGCCCTAACCCTCATCGCCTTCTATAAGCACCGCGTCCCGGTTCGATTTGGATATCGCGGATCGATTTGTCTCCCGGTGTGTGTGCTTCGTTGTGTGTTGTTGTTGTTTGACGCGTGGCCACGTCTACTCCGACTGATGCTCCTGATGTTGTGGAGTGACTCATGCAGCCAGATATGGCTTGCAGGGTTTGGTGGTGGTACGTGTTGTTTGTGTCGTTTATTGTGAAAATTCCGTCAGTTCCTATGATCACTGTTTCATTGCTTTCGTGGCTTTATTTTGGTGATTTCGGAAAGTGTTTTGGTTTGTAGTACGGAGTAAGACTGATGGCCTTAATCTAAGCTGTCTTATAATAATAATAAAAAAGGTGTCAGTTTTTTTGCCAGATAAAAGGGTAAAAAACCAAATATCATATTTTGCTACTGGCAAAGGAGGTTCCAATGGTCTAAGTTGTCTTGTGGTTGTTGTTGCTGTTTGACTTGCATCCCACTGAGATTTTTGCACACAGTGTTGGTGTACGGTGCTTTTTCTGCAATATTTTGCTGTCTTTTCTTGGATTTTCTGTTTGCACTTGGTCACATATTCGCTTTAAGATGTTTTCTTGTTCATGTTTTTTGTTTATTGCGGTTGCACCCAATTCAAGAGCCGACTGGCTCACAGGGCTCTACCTAATACATGAACTTGAACGTTGCTGATGCTGCTGCTGCCCGTGTTGCCCCTCAGAGGCGGAGCTGTGCCCCCAGCCAGCTGGCCAAGCGGCAGCTGGGCGAGGATGGCGAGGAGTGGGTGCCACCACACAAGGAAGAGGTGCGTAGATCTCCCCCCCCCCACCTACCTGCGTTGACATGGGACTATCGGCGTTCACGACTCTTAATTGTACCTTTTGTGCCTTTTGGCGTCATCTGGTCCAACACCATGTGAGACTAGGCTCTAAGAAAAGCTGTCTCGGGTGTGGACCAATCCATTTCAAGGACGGTGCATACATTATCAGAGTTGTGTTTTTTGTGTGCATTCCGACCGCAGGTATTGTGGTCAATGCAAACATGACTCCTTGTAAAAAAGGTGCCAGATAAAAGGGTAAAAAAACCAATTGTCATGTACCTGTGATGTGTACGATAGGCACTCTGAGTCGGGGTCGTTAGAGAACATCGCGGCATTGAGTCGTTGGGCATAAATGTCACAGAGGGGGAGGCCACGGCTGCGTGTGTGACTGTGTGGCAACTCGCCGCTGCGGTGACGACTCTGCAGGTGTCCAAGCGCAAACGGCACGGCAAGGAGGCGGCGCTGGACTGGGACAGCTTCGTGTCTCCGTACCGCAAGCCCCTGGCGACACTCGACAATTCGCCCCACAGTTCGGATGGAGCGGCACACGTGAGACGCGCATTTATTGGGAGAGACGCATTACCCACTGGGATTTTTTTGCACACAGCGTTGATATACGGTGCTTTTTCCGGAAGACTTTGCTGTTTTTTCCTGGATTTTTCTGTTTCTTGTTTTTGTTTGTTGCGGTTGCACCCGATTCAAGAGCAGAATGGCTCACAGGGCTATACCTAATCAATGAAACTGAAACTGCTTTCACACGGGGTGCCCGAGAGTGGTGATGGCTCGTGGTAGCTTTCATTTACAGAATCAGAATGTTTATTTATTCTGAAGGAATCCGATGAGCTAGAACGCGCCCCCTCTCTCACTGACGTCCATTCTGCTTGCTGTCTGTTCCAGGAGGCATTCATTCGCAGCATCTTAGCCAAGCCTTTTAAAATACCCATCCCTAACTACAACGGTAAGTGTCTTGTGTGTGTGTTTTTTTAAGTGCAATTAATATATATATTATAATGCCATTTATTTATCAGGAAAAGCCTACGTGAGTGTATTAGATTCATGATGATTGTCAAATTTTATTGAGTGTTTAACATGTGTGAGGAAATTGTATTACTTGGGGATACCTGTACAAACTATGGGGTAACACTATAAGTTCTGTACAGCTTCAAGAATCAAATGCTCCTCTGCTGTTCCCTGGCCACAGACATGTCTCCCATCCAAGTACTAGCCACGCTCATCCCTCTAGCTTCTGAGATCTAATGATATTAGGCATATTTAGGGTGATATTGTCAATTTTATTAAAGAGGAAAACTTTGTGCAGTCTCATTCGATGATTTAAATGCAGATAGGTGGTATGTATGTTGAACTTCTTTCGCACCATACGTATCCCACCGTGCTATTCAGAGGTGCGGGGGAAGGACAACAAGGTTAGGTAGGTTTGTATCTTGCTTCATTGTAGTAAATGTAATAAAGGAAAATGCTCTTTACATGACTGACCTATTGTTGATAATTGGTTTTTTACCCTTCTATCTGGCAACAAAACTGACACCTTTTTTACATGGAGTCATGTTTGCATAGACCACAATACCTGCAGTCATAATGCAAACAAAAAACACAAGTCTGATTAATGTATGTGCAATGTCCTTGATGTTGATTGGTCCACACCCGAGACAGCTTTCCTTAGAGCTGTCTCGGGTGTGGACCAATCAACATCAATGACTGCACATTATCAGAGTTGTGGTTTTTGTTTGCATTATGACTGCAGGTATTGTGGTCTATGCAAACATGACTCCTTGTAAAAAAGATGTCAGTTTTGTTGCCAGATAGAAGGGTAAAAAACCAATTCTCATATTTTTTACTGGCAAATGAGGTTCCAATGGTGACCTATTGATGTTTTGACACTGTGTTCCACGTATCCTATGGTAGTGATTTTGAGGGCCGTGTGTCATTGGTGCTGGCAGGGCCGCTGGGGGTGAAGGCACTGGGGGTGAGGAGGCACGGGGCGCGGCGACCCCTGCACGACCCCTACGTGGATGGTGCCCTCGTGCTCTACGAGCCCCCCGAAGTCACTGCCCATGATCTGCTCAAAGCCGACAAGTACAGCCCAAAGTCTTCAACTGTATTGACATTCACAATACGTGCATAGAGTCGCGTATGTAAGAAATTATTACGCTGGTCACCACACTTTTTCTGGCATAAGGTATTCCAACGATTCTAAGGTAATTTTGGGGTGCTGATTCCAAATCTGGCATCAGTTTTTGTCTATCACATCAGGTTTTTGAGATCTCAAATATTACATTTTCAATAAAAACTGCAGAAGAAAAATATTAAATAAATGTGGATATCTACATAAAATGATATTATAAACGCACTATCCTAAAAATACAGCACCAGATTTTAACACTAAAGCAGTCACTGACTCGCAACAACTTGCAATCATAAGTGACAGAGTTAATTTCGGGTGAAATCAATTAAAATGGGGTATGCTGATAGCATAAAAATTAGATGTGATAGAGCAAATCTGAGATCAGATTTGGAATCAGCACCCTGAAATTAGTCTAAAACAGCTGCAAGAAGTCCAGGCCAGAAAAAAAAAATATTTTTTGTTGACCAGTGTTATTTATAATTCTCCAAATAGTTTACTGTACATAGGTAAGACAAACAAAAAGTATGCAAAACATTCGACAAAATAAACTATTCTGGGATCGTAATCTCAAAGCGACAATTCAAAGAATCGCTGGTGCCGGTGAATTATCACAGTCGAGAGGATGTTTATAATGTGTTTGTAAAGATTATTCTGATGTAAGGGGGCCAAGGTCGACTTGAGTTTTGTTTGTTTGCAGAGACACACAACCGGTACATGTGGTTGTGGATCCTGAACTGTGCAAAGTGCTGCGACCCCATCAAAGGGAGGTAAGCCATAAAAAAAACTCTAAGAAAACAAGCACTTATAAAGATTGTAAGAATGGGAGGTAACCGAATGGCTCGGGTCGGAACGCTGAGCTGACACCGTGGTAATCCTGGATTTAAATCCAGGTGGCCGTCTGTGATTGAACAAGGGTTCTAAAGTTTAGTGAGTTTATGGACTCTGCCATGTCACAAATGAGTACTATAAAAAATAGGTTCTGTACTTAATTTCGTCAAATTCCAGCGTTTCCTGAAAAGTGCTGTTAAGTGAAAATGCATGAAGCGATGAATTCCTGTACCGAATCTCATTTGTGCTGTAAAATCAGCCTGTAGGCATCCCATGGCAAGACAAATAGCTGAAATGAGGGTACGCCAACACGTCGTACTGTATCGTACCACTCGGGCATGCAGTTGAAGAAAGTAGTCGTCGACCACTCGGAAACTGCGTTTAAGAGGTGCATTCTGCGTAGTGCGAAAAGTATATTCTCGAATAGAAGAACAGTGTTTTGGCAAAAACGCGTCGTGTGAAAAGGCATTAAGCGAAGACTTTCCTTAGATCAGTTTGCGGCTTTCATGCTGTGTGGACCAGAGGTCACTAGAAGGGATCTCCGATATATCCGTCTGGTATTAATTTCCATGGGTTCTGTAACACGAAGGGTTGATGGTGATAGTACAATCGGGATACAATTTGGGAAATTAGGAAACAACGATCTATGAGAATGCACGTAATAAAATATGATTATGTTTACTTAGTCCCCTCATGTTGTTCCACATTGTCGCATGCCTGGTCACTGTGTGCAGGGTGTCCAGTTCCTGTGGGAGTGTGTGACAGGAAGACGTATCCCTGGTAGCTTTGGCTGCATCATGGCCGACGAGATGGGCTTGGGGAAGACGCTGCAATGCATCACACTCATGTGGACGCTGCTACGGCAGAGCCCAGATGCGAAGTAAGACAAATGGACAGACTGCGTTGCCGCATCCAGTAGCATGCGACGCAAACCACATGATTGGTGGGATTTTGTCTGAAGCAGTGGACAGTAGTGGAGGGGGGGGGGGTGTGTGCTAACGCTGCGTGTCCTGCAGGCCCGAGATCGACAAGGTAATGGTGGTGGCCCCCTCGAGCCTCGTGAAGAACTGGTTCAATGAGGTGGCCAAGTGGCTGGGAGGGACGCGTGACTCCGCTCGCCATCGACGGCGGGAGCAAGGGGGAAATTGACAAGATGCTAGGTTTGTGCACTTTGTGATTTCACGTGTTCAATTCATTTGACACCATATGTAGCTAACCGTGCGAATCGGAGGAGAAATATAATTCCTATGCATAAACACTTGCGAATTTCCGTTTGTCCTGGAACTAATTAAATTTGTGTAAATCACGTTACATTGTGACTGCACGAGGTGACGTCACATGATGCATGTGTGATGTCATCGCCTTGGTCGAAGAGACTTATTCTTTTAGTGCTGTTATTGCTCAGTTTTGCATAAACTTTTTGATTAATTTGGCCGGTTTTCTAGAGTAAGTCCCTAATAGCGTCGTAGCTTGATACTAAAAGTTTTGTGTATGTTGAATCATCTTTATGAGTGTTATTGTGAGTCCTTGGTTATAGGTGAAGGGAGAGAGCTAATGCATCAACCTTAGTTGGAAAAAATTACAAAAAGCTACACTTGAAACTCTGTTTGACAGAGTAAGATTGGTTGGTCTTTGGCTCAAAGTACTGTCGGTCTCCAGAATATGAAGCGGTGTTGTGTGGATTCACGTGCTGCATGCCGTGTGTGCAGGGAGCTTCATGGCGCAGCACGGCTTGCGCATCCCAACCCCCATCCTCATCATCTCCTATGAAACGTTCCGCCTGCACGCCGAGGTTCTGCACCGGGGCCACGTGGGCCTCGTCATCTGCGATGAGGTGACGTCATTGTTACACCGACTTGACAACCGACACCTCAAATTTTCATTTGGAATATAAAGCCACGGCGGTAGCGGAAATTTAATGTTCCGTTCTTGTGCGTCGTGCGGGGGGCAGGGGCATCGGCTGAAGAATGCCGAGAACCAGACGTACCAGGCGCTCAACAGCTTGAACGCGCAGCGTCGCGTTCTCATCTCTGGCACGCCCATCCAGAACGACCTGCTCGAGTACTTCAGCCTCGTGCACTTCGTCAACTGCGGGATCCTGGGTGGGTTCAGTGGCATCGACGAGACCGCCACCTCTCACACCCTTCCCGCGCGACTGCCACGTCTAATGATGGGTTGGCACCCGAGCGAGTAGCTGCACAACAAGGAAACTAAGTGGCGTATCGCAAGTATGCATGTGATTAAATACGTCACTACAGTACATAAGAAACCTGTTGCAGGGACAGCCACACGCAAGGCACCAGTCATTCAGCTGCATTTAACTGCAGCTGAATGACTGCTTGTTTAGCCATGGACCCAGCTGAACAGACATACTTGTGAGGCATAGTCCCCCTGAATAACACGCCATGTGTGTTCACGAGACTCGGGCTTAATGGGTCCCAGCGAACCGTCTCTCCCTGGTTTTACGACTACCAGAATGACCTTCACTACTGAGTGGCGTTTGATCCCACGGATGTGCTGTCTGGTGTTTTTGACACAGGAACGGCGCAGGAGTTCAAGAAGAAGTTTGAACTCCCGATCCTGAAGGGTCGCGACGCCGATGCGACCGACGATTTAAAGCGGCGCGGAGAAGAGCGGCTGCAGGAGCTGATTGGCATTGTGAATCGGTATGCGGTGCTCGGATGATCCGCACCTCCCCCAGGCTTGCGAGCTGCCCCCTCGCACCTCCGCATTTGTGCAAGGCCGGTTCTGTGTGCGGAGGTTTTGTGCGTTTCTATTTCAGGTGTCTCATAAGGCGGACATCGGACATTCTATCCAAATACCTTCCCGTCAAAATAGAGCAAGTGGTGTGCTGCAGGTGCGTGATGCCACATCTTACCGAGTGCTATCATACATGCATATGTAATGATTGTTTTGTTTCACCCGAAGACGTTTCTGCAAGTTGGCAAATAATCTCAACTTGTTTTTAATGTGTAGCTCTCCAATGTGTTTTTGGGTTGTGTTGTGTGTTGTTCGGTGTGATGTCCAATATTTCCTTCTATGTGCCTGGTAACTTCAGTTCCTGGAGATACTCCCAACACATGGAACGTGGAGCAAAAACAATAGCCATCGTGCCATATATATCACGCGTTACAACCCAGAAATACATAGGAGAGCCGGAATAAAAAATTCCGACGGCAGGCGAACAGTTGCGCGGGTACGGGTGCCAACGTGCCGGTGTGATGACGCCGCGTGCTGCCCGTCACAGGCTGACGGCGCTGCAAGCGGGGCTCTACAAGCTGTTCCTGCGACAGAACAAGACTGCGAGCGAGCTGAGCATGGCAAAGAACGGCACCATGAGCGCGTCCTCCCTCTCCTCCATTACGCAGCTCAAGAAGTTGTGCAACCGTGAGTTCTTAGCTGTTGCAATCCCCACGTGCACGCGAGGTTCCCACCAGATGCTGTATCGGAGGTCGGTGCACGTTGACGGTACGCATCACAGCTGTTGTCGGCAAGTTTAAAGAGAATCGCGAGATTGTGAGTTTTGTTTATTGCACGCAGACCCATCTCTGATCTTTGACAAGTGTGTGGAGGGAGAGGAGGGCTTCGAGGGGGCCCTGGAGCTCTTCCCTGCCGGGTACCACCCCAAGCTCCTGGAGCCGCAACTCTCAGGTGACGCGAGCTCATTGTTGAGTTTTCAGCAGCAGATTCTAATTGGAGCTCAGTCGCCTATGACAGGGGTGTCTAAACTTTTTGCAAAGAGGGCCACATTTGATAAAGTGAAGATGCCCAGGGGCCAATAGTTCCTTTTGACATTTTTTTAACCACAAAAGTTACGTGGAAAAACACATTGTTATAAAACAATTTTCATTGTCACAATTACCTTTATTTTTCAAATGACAATGTAACCAAATATAAGCCACTCAGGCAGACGTGAACAACTCTAAAAACGCAATTCTGCCTTTCATTCAGTCAGATAACATTGAACAAACTGTATAGAATACCTTAAATTTCCATGAGTTTTATGATGTATTTATTCTGACAGAGCTGGCGAGCCATAACTAACACATTATAAGACCGAAGCTGTGGGCCATATGAAATCTGACCGTGGGCCGTGATTGGCCCGCGGGCCGGACTTTGGACATGCCTGGCCTATGAAATAAACAAGGGCTGGCCTTGTATTATTTCTAAGATATGGTTTATTTTATCAAGATTTTTTTTTTACCCGTGTAGATTGACAGAAAAGGGGAGGGGGGGACCATAGGGGTTGGTATGGGAGGGCGAATGCTGCTATACGCCGTCCCGGCATATGCTCCCACACTGCACCGTCACGCTCGTCTTGTATCCAGGATCAAACAACGTGGCCACCATTGCTTGTATATTGTCAGTTACCTGTGTCGTGTAGGAACCCAAGAATCGTCTCCTTACAAAAGGCTGCATTGCTCCCGTGTGGAAGCAGCCCACAGCTGCAATGCGTCGGCCTGGTTGTAAACAATGGGTGGTGAAATTTCGATTTCAAGCTTTCGCGACTGCAGGGATTCATATTTAAAAATATATATTGCTGTGGTTTTCACACCTAATGATGATTGCTTGTGTTGCAATCGAAACGTCGTGAGAATTTTTTTGTTTTATTTTATTATTTCCCTTCGACGTGACTTTATCGAAAGAACCAAGAATAAAAATGGGTGGTGACTGTGTGCCGCAGGGAAGATGCTGGTGCTGGATTACATCCTGGCCGTGACACGATCCACCACGAGCGACAAGGTGGTGCTTGTCTCCAACTACACGCAGACCCTTGACCTCTTTGAGCGGCTGTGCCGGACCAGGAGGTGAGGATAAAGCCCGGTGGGCACCATTCCGGTACAAGTTGGGATTTCTCCAGCGCCTAAATCCATCTGCGTGTGTCTCGAAGCCGTACAATTAAGAAGGGGAGCGGGGGTGAGCATGTGCATGTCGTGAGGATTGTTAATAGAAGAGGGATCTTTTTTTGTTCAGAATTGTTTCATCACAACCAATGTTTATTTATCAGGCGGAAAAACTTTTGAGGTCTCGGCAAAAAAATATTTGACAGAACTGGTGAAGCGTTAAGACTGGTAATAGTGGAAGCGTAACAGAAATATGAAACCACGTAATGTATTGAATGTGCCATTTTTTATTTCAAATTACTGAAAGGCGGAGGGAAAGGTGCCAATATGGTAAATGTCCAGATGAAAGCATTTCAGAGAGCAGAAGAGAATTTTCTCAACAGTGAAAATGGCCAGGGATGGTAGTGCCACGCACATCCACGAGCCAGGGGTTAGAATCGTGATCTAATACAGCAATGGGCAAGTAAATGAATTGCGCCCATGTTAATGCAAATGTTTTGTGCATTTAAGCTACCTGTACGTGCGGCTGGATGGGAGCATGTCCATAAAGAAGCGGGCAAAGGTTGTGGATCAATTCAACAACCCATCGGTGGGTGACTGCTTAATCCTTTTGTACTTTCGAGTGCATGACCTCACAAATGTCCACGTCTATTTGTTGGTCTCTGGCAATTCATGCATCTATTCTAGGGAGCAGTAATGCAGTGGTTGGCGCATTGCACTACAAAACTGGTGTCTCCGAGTTCAATTCCTGGCTACTGCCAACATCTGTGACGAGCGATATCTGAACCCGTCTTGGACCTCCTCTCGTTTGACTCGGCCTTATTCGAGTACCTGGTGTGACGTGTAAAACTCGGCACTGGAGAGATAAAGGTGGTCGGGCATGGTGCTTCGCCGTCCACCACCCCGTGCACCATGATGACTTTCATTGCTGCTTGCTAACAACAGTTTCCCTAACCATGTGGCTATCTCTCCAATGTGTTTTCTGGTTCATCGTGCCGAACAACAAGCGAGATAACCGAAAACAGAGTTATATTGCACAGCCATAAATACCCTACAGTCTGTATGGCTGTACGGGAGGTGTTTGTCTTTACTTGTTGGTGGGTGTTTCCACTGCCTGCACAGAGCCCGGAGTTCGTGTTCATGCTGAGCAGCAAGGCGGGTGGCTGCGGGCTGAATCTGATCGGCGCCAACCGCCTCGTGATGTTCGACCCCGACTGGAACCCGGCTAACGACGAGCAGGCCATGGCGCGCGTGTGGCGCGACGGCCAGCGCAAGAGCTGCTACATCTACCGCCTCGTCTCCGTGAGTCCTACGTGGGCGCTGTACCAGGCCAGTGGCGCAAGTCGCGGGTGTGCAGGCGGTGCAACTGCACATGGAGCCCACGGGCAACAGGGGTCAAGGTGCCAGGCCACGAAGAGGGGTTAAATTGGACAGGTTCCCCTATTTAATTCCTTGCAGTGGGACCCATGATTCATTAAGTTGATGCACATGTACCATGACAGTTACACGTTTGTATATCACTGGTTTTTGATATACAGTTCGGGAGGATGCTATGGCAAATAAAGAAACATTTTGACTCAACACAATTATAATTAGCACTGCCTTATAACAGAATAGCCTGACATTTTTGGCAATGGCCACTTCTTCAGAGCAGAGCCACTGGCCAAATGTCTGGTACATATACATATTTTTTATAATGTGCTACCTGGTGTAGTATATAAACATCTGTGCTGTTGCAATTAAAAGCGGTTGGGTGTGGTGCTGGCAACGCCACCTCCCTCATACGCCATGCCGGCCTTAATTGGTGCCTACGAATGGCACTTTCTCCACCGCAGTCTAAACGGCTAAACGGGGGATGTTTGTCGTTTTGTGTGCGACAGACGGGGACGATAGAGGAGAAGATCCTGCAGCGGCAGACGCACAAGAAGGCGCTGAGCAGCTGCGTGGTGGACGAGGAGCGCGACGTGGAGCGCCACTTCTCCCTGGTCGAGCTGCGCGAGCTCTTCCTACTCAACGAGAGCACCAGCAGCGACACGCACGACAAGTATGACGCAGACAACTCGCACGCGCCTCGCTACCGCTTCTCCGCAGCAGCACTTTGCTCGCCAGCTGCCTTGCGCTTTCAACTATCAAATCGTACGGCCTTCAGTCTCAAAATAAAATCCAAAGGGTACTTCTCGCAACACTCATTTATTACACGAAAAAAGATTACAGTCAAACGTTCATTATCTGGGGTAATGGGAAGGAGTGGCCCAGATATCTTTTTCTCAAGCATGGTTAATCCTCACACAGATAACCGTGAGTTAACTGAATCATTTCCTTCATTTTTATCTCACTTGGGGGCACGTGGATCCCAAGCTGTTTTGTCACAAACCTTAAGTCGTCTAACATGGTCGGAATCATGAACGAGCGATCATTTGAAACCTGCCTGTGTTGATTTCCAGGTTCAAGTGCCGGCGCTGCGTGAACGGGATCCAGGTACGCCCGCCGGCGGAGGGCACGGACTGCACCAGCAACCTGTCTCAGTGGCACCACAGCTGGGACAAGCGGCACCTGCAGGACCGCGTGCTCACTGCCGCCTGGGACGCCGCCGTCACCTTCACCTTCCACCATCGCTCGCACGAGCCGCGATCCACCGCGTGACCTCCGTTTGTCCGGCAGCACGGGGCGCCATGACTTCACCTCGATCTGCTGCTGGGTGCTCGGATGAAAGCGCGGGGATGCAAATCTACTGACGAAACATTTAAGCGATACTGTAGCTATCAAGGCACGTGTGGTAAAGACTGCACTTGCACGGAGCGCATGTGTGGGTGTGCACATCGAATATAAGGCTGCTATTCAACATCATAAGTCCTGTAAATCTTACTGTCAGTTTTTTTTTATTATATACACAAATGCGCTCAATATTTTGTTATGCTCGTTCGACGATGCCATGTGATGCTGTTTTGTACGTAGCCATCAAGTGTCTCCAATAAAAAGCTGAGGGTCACGTACACGTTCCTCCAAAGTTCGAATGCCACCTCGAGGCAATAAGATTTTTCCGTACGGCCAGAGTCCGCACTGCCCAGGCTCAGGCGAGCTGCTCCTCTTCGGGGACGTTCCGGCTGATGACTGCCACGCGGCGACCACGGGGAACGCGTTCGCCCCGGAACACCGACTCCTCGTCCTTGAGAATCTCATGCGTGAACTCGTAACGAACCCGTCCCCTGCCAGCAGCAGATTGAGAAAGGGCAGCAACGTGTTTGCGTGAAAGAACTGTGCAGACCACACGAGCCGGGATGGTGCAGAGCGCACAGCAGGGGGTTAGGGGTGTGAGGAGGTGTGGCACACACCTGATGATGTAGAGGGAGCGTGGCTTGAGCAGCACATCGACTCTGATGGTGGGGTCCTGCTCGTGCACGAAGCGCATCACACTGGCCGACAAGAGGCTGAGTCCTGCGATGATGCTCCCGCAAAACTGCAGACGCGCAATGGCAGCACGACTCAACCAGCGTTTCATGTATGGGGTTATGATCAGGTGGACACCTATATTGGTACACAATAATGCAGACAATTCGTTTTGTAAATTGCAGATGTCTGCGCTTATGCAGGTTGCAGTAAAGCTACACTGGATGTGTACAGTACTGTCTGCAGACAATTGACTTGGTCGACAGCCTATTTAGTCTACAGTACATTAGCCTGCACATTGTTGTGAACACCTACATTAAACTACATCACTGCACACCTGTAAAAACTAGGTGACAATTGCCTATTCCACACTGCTGGAGACATATCCTGAATACATCTGGCTCAATGTTGACTTCGATTAATGTACCACACACTGCTGCAAATCGCTCTGTCCTACAGATGCGGACATCCGCAGTACAACATGACTCCGGTCAGGAGCAGGAGATGTATAACTGCTGTTCTACAGGCGTCTATTTAAATAGCGTAGCACACACAAGCTTTACATCAGAGCTATGTCCTTGTAGGTCTGCGCTATCGTGGAGGAGGTTGATGTGGGCCCCACCTTGACGCTGTCCACGTGGGGGCGGATAAACCCGGCTGCGTCCAGGTCGAGCACGTGTGTGAGTGGCATGACCTCGGTGCCCGGTGGGAAGGCCCTGGCTAGCATTCGTGCCAGCGTGGCCCGGTTTCCCTCCGACCAGCGGCGGGTCTCCGTCTCGCGGTATCCGTGTATCGCCTGTTGGGATGGATGGGAAAGCGTTCGGGCTCAATCATCGACTCTCAGGCAAAGCAATTGTATGGCTAAATCAATTACGACTGCATCTCTAATAGTTGTTCTTCATCGGCTATATGAAATCATAATTTCTAAGCCTTGCCGGTAGAGCGAACAACTCGCAATCAAATGTTGCGAGTTAAAATCCTGGTAGAGGGTTTACTAAGCCAAGCATCCCTCTGGGAAAGATCGCATGAATACCAATTTCCCTAAGGACTAGCCCCTGCCATAGGAATGTGGAATTTCCACCACTTGACTGTAAATGGGGGTGAGCACGACCTTTCAATTCTCATTTGAGCAGGAACTATCACTTCTGACCCAACCACAACACGTGGTGAACTGGGGCTCGTGCAAGGAGTTTTACACTCCACCGCTGGATGGCCTTGGGGGTTATTTTACAAAACTTTACCACGCGGTCAGTGCCACTTTCTAAAAGGCGGCGAGACGCACAGCCACAGAAGCTTAGACAGCATTCAGATGAATTTCGATTTAAAGCTTTCGTGACTGCAGGGATTCATCTTCTTGGTTCTTTCGGTAAAGTCACGTAAAAGGGCTGAAACGTCGTGAGAATTTTATTTTATTATGTTTTACTTTTATTCTTTTCCTTCTACGTGACTTTACCGAAAGAACCAAGAAGAGCATTCAGATGGCTCGATGGGAAATACTGCAATGGCTTTTGCTGCGCTGCCCTCTGCTGTCAAAAACGTAGCCACGCAACCGCCTTGGATAACCCGGCGTGCATGGGGGTCGTGGTTTACCCATCCAAGCACTATCCAGGTTCAACCCCGCTTAGCTCACGATACGGGCCGCCTTCCTGGTGATCCAATACTTATCAAATAACAACTCTGCTGATGTTAGTTATTAGCGCGGGCGGGGTGGGTGGGGGGCGATAACGCAGCCGTCGAGTTCTCACGTGGTCCCAGTGGTCGAACTGGTACTTGAGTCTGCGCAGGGTCGGCTCCACGTCCTTGACGAGCAGCCGCTCTTCCTCCTCGCTCACGAACTCGTCGCTCACCTCCACGTCCCCCCGCACCATCGCCTCGACCCGCGGGGACTCGCAGCTCAGCCACGGCCTGGGGGTATCGTGCCGTGCCGCGTGGCCGCTCTTGTTGCGGGCCCCGCGGGGCGCCGGGCAGGCGAGACGCGAGAGCGAGGCCCGCAGCGGTGATGCAAAGAAGCGAGCGAGGCCGGGCCACGTGCTGATGCTCATCGCTCCCGGGGGTTGTCGGGTCGGTGGAGAAGGCTCGCAAGCTGCGCTCAGCCGAGGGAGTCTGAAGGAAATGCGGCCGGGGAGAGCCACAGACGAGTTTCGAGCGAGAGGTCACAGCTGAGTTTGAGCACCGAGTGTGCACTAGGGGGAGACACCAGGTCTGGTGAGGTAGGGCTACATCCCTCGGCTCCTATCCTCACCCCTCTCTTCTCTATTCTTAGGTTTTTTCGGTAAAGTCACGTAGGTAAAACATCAAAATTAATTAAAATAAAATAAAGATCACGACGTTTCGGAGGCAACACAAGTCTCCGTCATCAGGTGGGACCGTCACAGCCAGATTAGCTGCATCAAGTGAGGCAATGATTCAAGATTCAAGATGTAATCAAGATGTAATCCATTCATTGGCTACCACATTCTGATGAGCTCCCCCCCCTCTCCTCCCCCCTCAACTCGCTTTTAAGGGATTACATCTTGAATCATTGCCTCACTTGATGCAGCTAATCTGGCTGTGACGGTCCCACCTGATGACGGAGACTTGTGTTGCCTCCGAAACGTCGTGATCTTTATTTTATTTTTTATTAATTTTGATGTTTTACCTACGTGACTTTACCGAAAACACCTAAGAATACCTCTCTTCTCTCTCACGATCTCTCTCCACCACGCGTCTCCTAGCCCGGCCTCCTACCCCCCGGCCTCCCTGAGCTCTCTCCCAGCTCACCTCGTGTCGCTCACCGCCCCCACGCCCCTCTGTGACCCGCCTCGACCGGCTCTCCCCCCCCTCTCCTGCGGGCATTTAAACCGGGGACATGGCCCCCTTCGCCTGCCGCCCACGTGCTCGCGAGCTCACGCACACGCCACGCGCCTTTCGTGAAATGTCAGCGGTGTCAAAGCCCTTATCAAGTTCCCTACCTTATTACAGAACAATTCAGAGCGTATTGGTCACCCCCCGTGCCCCTTAAGGCCGTCCATAAATGACGTCACGCACCTGGAGGGGGGGGGGGGTTGAGAAATGTGACGTCACATCAAAATGCGCAACTTTAAATAAATATAGACAACACGTTCTACTTAATTAAATAGACTTGTTAATACATGTTTCTCCTACAACATCAGAGTGCAGCGGCACTTTAAATATGCACTACAATGACAAGTTTAAAGCGATTTAAAGCATGTTTTATTTGGGGGGGCAGAGCTTTGTCAAAAATCGCGTGACGTCATTTATGGACGGCCCCTTATTAAATCTCAACGTTCTCTTAATCTTATTTAAAACACGAAACTGCTCCACCGACACCGGGCTATTTGCATGGGTGTAGAAAGTAAAAGTGTCCAGTGCTTCAAGATCGGTTAAATATTACCAATGTTAATATTAACGTGTGCGTGACGTCATCACGTTCGAGAGACGTCACCGCGTAACCACGCCACCGCGTGATGTCATGACGCTTTGCACGCTTGAATGACGTCATTACGCTTGGCGGTGACGTCGTTACGTACTCATAAAATAATGGATTTTAAAAATCACATAGATGACCGCTTGTGTTGCGATCGAAACGTCGTAGTTTTTTTTTCTTTTAATCTACGTGACTTTACCGAAAGACCCAAAGATTATGAATTCCTGCAGTCACGAAAGCTTTAAGTCAAGATTTTAAAAACAATCCTTGCACGGGATTCGAACCGGAGTCCTCGACTTAATGGATTAACCGCTTTGCTCTCCTCTCCACCACTCGGGCAGTAAAATACACGCTCGTGTTCTAGTTGTTATATCAGTGTCGTAATTTTACAACAAATAAAAATATTCAGAAATTTAAAAAAATTGCATAAGTTGCTCACGTGCTAAGATTTTTTACTAAGTTAGTTTTTGGTCAAAAGTAAAATGATAAATAGGATGCAAACCCACAAGTTCGATTCTCACAGGCGACGGACTGCGTTCACGATTCGGCTATCAGCCCGCGTGTGAAGAAGCTACGATACAACAGCAATCACCAGTGTCCCTCTGGACAATGTGACAAAATCAGGAGGCACACAATTCGCCTCCTTATACATTAGCAAAACAATACTCACCGCATTAACAATACACACCGGGTTAGCAATACACAACACGTGTCTTTTACTGGTAGGAACCTCCTGGTTACACCAGCCCACAGGGGATTATTGTGTCCGTCGTGCAGGGAGGGGCTGGGTGGGGAGGGAGGGGCTGGGTGAGGAGGGGCGGGTGGGGAGGGGCTGGGTGGGGGGTGGGGCTGGGTGGGAGGGGTGGGGCTGGGTGGGGAGGGGCTGGTCACCCCGTGGTGCCCTTATAAAACTCAACGTTTAACCTACTCACGCCGGCTTGTGCCCGCCCTCACAGTCGGGCATATTTGCGGAATACACCACGCCGCCGTTGACCCTGGCCATTGACCGAGCAACCCAACGTTCCTACCAGCTCCCTCCGCAGAAATGAGTTTGTACACATTCCATCAGCCGGGGCACCGCCTTCTGGGAGTGCATCATTGCAGCAGTATTTGGTTCATCGCAAGCAAAACTCTGAACCGGTTTCAACATTTGTCTCATCGGCAGGGTCAGGCCAAAAGTTTATATGCAAGGACCCAGTGAGACAAGTTTGCTTGTAGTGAACCAATGTTGTGGAAATTACGCACTCCCAAAAATAAGGCCGTGCGGCAGATGGGATGTTTTAAAAAACGCTTTTAAAAATTCCCTTGTATGTGAAGTGACATATTTTAATCATGCGCCGTATATGTTTATTTATTTAACCGTGGGCGCATTTGTGGAGAGGGAACTGCAAGCATGAACCTGGTCTCAAACTCTCTACTGCCCCAACGCGGAGGTGTGGGGTGTGTGTGGCATTTAAAGTGTCGTGTGAGCGGCCTGGCAATGGAAAGTGGGGCGATGAGAGACATTGACACCGCGTGGCCACCAGAGGACGCCACGTCCTCGCCTCGGGGACAGCATCGGTCAGGGGAAGTTGATAATCGGTCAACGTTGTGCACGCGGGCTTCAAGGAGTTTCTCGGTGCATTTTCTGAAACGAATGCTGCCGGAGAATGAATCGGAGCAGGCGGTGTGGCGTTTCGCACGATGTGGTCGAGTGATTTGAGATTGGTGACTGCAGTTGCACTCTGGGCCATTCTGAATTTAACTCTTTTCAACAACTGCAACAACAACAAAAAAACACGTTAATGGAGAGAATGAATGCTTCGTCAAACGCACTCCTGCATGAATTGTCTCCCCGTGCTATGCCACTCATGGTGGTTGTTTTGACGCCACACTTTACCACCCTGGTCAACATGGGTTGGGTGAAAACAGGGGGCTCAATGGGCGGTCTACATCTCGTTCTTCAATGATGTTAGCATTGGCTGGGAACCAAAGTCTTCTCTCACGGTTCATAAGCATCGCGCCATCGCTCCAGTGGATTTCCATCCGCAAAAAGGCATTTTCACGGATCGATTGTGGCCACGCATGAGTCACAGATAATAGGGCCATAAATAAGAGGCGTTACTCTCACTATATTACAGAATCAACTTGGTGGGGCGGTACTCTACATAGTTTGAGAATGAGTGTGTCTCATTAAGTGCTTATTTTAAATCGTGTCACCGCATCCTGGCGAGAGGATGCACATTGCCTCATCTGCGATATATCACGCATGACCGTATCGCCACTCGAAGCGCGATATTGATCGTGAAGCCGAACCAATCCATAAACCGCCATTCGCTACTAGGTGGCGGCGACGTCACCACGGCGCTTGTGCCAGGCTAAGTGCACTTTATGTCCACGTGAAGTGTCGAACGCCCGCTGCCAGGTCGAGGGACAGACCGAGGTGCCGTGGGTTGACTGAGATGACTGGCTGATGCACTCCACCTGTGCCACCGACTGTACCAACCGCATACCCCCACAGTCCCCGCACACCCCTTACCACTGCTGCGCCCGTGCACTGCCCACGCCACCTTCACCAACTCCAACCACAACCTGTCCAACCCCCGTGTCCAGGGGAAGGGGGGGGAGCCTGAAGACGAAGGGGCGGGTCTTAAAAAGGAAAGGCGCAGTGACAAAATGGAGTGGGGCTTATGGAGTAAAGGGGGTGGGGCATAAAAAGGAGGCAGGGCCTACAGAGGTTGGATCTTGTGTTATTTAAGGTAATAATGCAGCAGGCAGCCACAGGCCAACTAATGTACTTGCTATGTATCAGTTTCATGAGTCTGGAATGGACAATTGTGGCCACGATTGCACTTGCTGTTGATGGGGTTTTCAAGGCTTTTAAAGGGATAGGAGTTGCACGTTTAGAAGTTAAAGCTGGTTTGTCGCTTCTTGAAAATTATATCCACCCCGTGTAAATGCATCCAGGTAAACCGGTTTAAACTGAACGGACTAACGAGCTCTCAGGTGTGTTATCTGGTTGTGCTACGTGTTGTTCCGGAAAGATGTGATGTTTCGCCCCACGTGGTGGGAGTTTCTTCAAAAACTGCTGAAACGTCGGACATCGTGGCGAACACATGGCAGAACACAAAAACACATCACAGATTCGTAAAGCACAACCGCGGAAACCTAGTGGTGATGGGATAAAATCCGATATTTATTTTTTGAGAATAGGTCAAAACGGTATTGACTGACATCATAAGAAACAGGATTGCACTATAAATGAATAAAAATATTTGACCATTTCAAATATTTATGCCCTAATTTCAAGATATGAATACAAATAACACATCACTTGGGACGCTGATTAAAAATTCTTACTTTCGTATTATGCACTACTCTTATCGCTGCATCACTGAATAATAATTTACTTATTTATCCAGGAAAGCCAAACTGGGCCATATGGCTCTTTTTCAGGAGGGTCCTGCAATTTAATCTTTATTTAAAGATGTTTTCAGCCACCTAATGAATGTTTTATACAAGTCGGAAGAAACCGGAGCACCCGGAGAAACCCCACGTGCGCGAGGGGCCAACACCGTCTCCTTACGGATGGAAACAGATGGCGATTAGTCCACTCACTGAGCTGCCTTCTCCTGGCGAACCAGGGCATGGCACCTTGACGCCCACGGAAAAGGAGTTTCACACCATTTGCGTAATCCACCAACCCTCGCCTCCACACTTATCATTTACAGGCATTCATAGCAACCACGGTCATTCAATACAACATTAAAGAATGTTTATTTTTAGATTAATTGTACTGCATGTAAGAGGTAAAAGTACAGCAATTATTGGGAAACCATCATCAACCATCATTACTGGCAGGAGTTGGCACACAATTTGTCGCAAAAAAAATTAGTTGCCAAAATCTGGACAAATCTGGTTAGTGCTGCCCCTACTGGGTAACTGCGTTGGCACCTTCCAAGCAGACCATACGTCAGATTACACGGCTCATCATCAGCCATGGTTAATCCACTGGTGGATGAAGGCTTCCCCAAGCTGCTGCCATCGCTCATGGTACCTCAATGTACTAATGAACATAGCACCTGCACACGAGCTGATGTTATTGCTCCACGAGTTCAAAGTCATGGCAGGACAAACAATGGATATTTTCCTTGGCTGAGATAGAACGTTGTCACTATGCCAATGCCGTACCTAACGTAGCCTGTAAACGTTGCATCACGGCCCTGCGTGCGCTTCCTCTACGAGCGTGCGGCGTTCTCCACCTCCCGCATCAGACGCAGACACTGCTCCTCCTGCCAGGGCAGGGCCACGCACTGCACCGAGAGCGGGAGGCCCACCCCTCCAGCCACCGCCTGCAGCCGCGCACGAAGGGAGGGGGCACACGGGGCGGCAGGAGTGAGCACGTGGGGTCCATGTGGTGTGGCTTAGCGCCCCGGGTGCTGGGGTGGGGGGGCTCCTCGAGTGATGGTTTTTGAGCGAAGCAGGAGGGGTCTTGTGTGGCACGGTTTTTGAAGGATAAGGGGGTGGGGCCCGGGGTACCCATGTGGTGTGTTGGTGGGTGTCGGATTGGGGATTCCATGTGGTTTTCAGTAACTTGGAAGAGAGAACAGTTGGGGGTAGGGATGAGAGGGGGGGGGCGCTGACAAAATATCATGTTTCCAACAGGTTTTTTCCTTTCTAAAGCACGTCAACCATCTTGACAGCAACCCTGCCAAATGAAGCGTACCCAAAGCAAATGGCTCGGATGTCTATAAAGGACCACATTTACGGGCGTTACGGCAGGGCAGTGCAGAATGTGCAGGCTCTGCGGGTAGGAGTTGTCACAAACCTTGGGAAAGGCCTTTTCCCAGATATCCCCGTAGTGGCCTCGGTACTCGCTGAGTTCTTGCTCATCCTGCACAGTGACCGTCCCCATCGGAACCACACCAGCCGGGAAATTCAGCAGGTTGTACAATATGTGGAAGACTGTGAGCGCTGGTAGAGGGAGCACAAAGGTTCATAAAAAAAGCATTCTTTTGAACATTGAACAACACATGTGAATGTATAAAGCATCTCAATGTCATATGCTATGCTGTGCAAAAAAGCAAGAAGTGCATTATTAGATCGTGGAGAAAGTCAGATTTTTTATTTGTCAAAATACGATTTTTTTATGCTTTATTTTTTTACTTAATGTAATTTTAAATAACTGCTCGCAGAGTATTTAAGGAACATTTGTTTAAATTGGTTGCAATACAGTGCTTTTAAATTAGCATTTTATACTCCACAAGCTCCAACCAATGTGCGCTATGAACCCAGCGATCCCCAGGTCAAACTAACATTGGTAGATAGCGATATCCAATCCAGTCCTGGCCTCCCCCTACACCAAAGCATATTAAAGTATGATCAAACCCCTGCCACAATCGACACAAGAATGGGGAGGCATTCATCCAGCAGCAGATTAACAAAGCTAGCGTGCAAGTGAGAATCGAGAGGTGGGGGCGTGAGGTGGCCTCACCACCGAGCTTTCCACTGTGGCCGATCTTTAGAGCGGGGCCCAGCGCCGGGCACAGGAGCACTTCTATCCCCGCCACCCTCCACGCCGAAATAAACTCGGTGCGGTACGCCTGCCAAGCAGAGGCACCCACCGACAACGTAGAATGTAAACGACCTTCGTGTTGCATTGGTGTTCACGTTTCTCAAGTTTATTTTGTTTAACCAGGGGTGAGAACTCGTTTTCCAAAGTGAACCTGGCTCACCGGAATTACAAAAGCAAAACAAATAAACTGAAGTAAATCGAAATCAAAGGAAAACACCACTCAGGTATTCGTGACTTACTGACTGCACATCTCGAAAAGTGCAACCAAATACTGCGCTTTGTTTTGATGAAACTCATTGTGATTATACTTAAACAAAGCAGTCAAATATTTCCCTTATTTCCATTGTGCATTCCAAATTTCCGTGCCAAGCGACATTTATTTGTGTATTTCTTATCAACACACATTTCAAGATAGCTAAGAAAAGTCAAGGTTGATAAGAACCCGTGTTCTTTAAAAATAGTGCAGCATTATCTGTTTTACCATCACGGCCACTATCAATCTACCTCAATTGCTGTATGGAGTTTCCACAGTGCTGCAACATTTCTGTAAAAAAAACAAAAAGATGAGAAGATTTTAAAAGTCTGTGTGATTGATGTAGTGGCAGAAAGTGTCAGTCAGCTTTATTTGCAAATTTCAAAGCTCCTTTTCTTCACAATAAATAACATCGCCTGAATGCATGTGGTCTGTGCTAGTAAGAGGCCACGTGGGTTTATTATTTTCTGTGGATATTTTTAAAAAATCCATAAAGTCTGCTCACTTTACTCCACCCTGCATGCGAAGTGCCTTGGACTGTCTTGGGGCCTGAGACACGAATACGCAGAAACACACGCTCACGTACATGACCCGACCAGCAATGTGACCGCATTTTCAACATTGGGACGTCATTAGCAACCTTTTCAAATTGCAGTATTCGGGAATGAGTCGCTTACAAAGGGTTTTGTGAGCACGCTGAGCAGCCAGGATAGAAGCTTTGGTATCCGGTACATGCTGATTTGGTAGTGCAGGTTAGGGTCAACCACATCCCCAGCACTGGAAACAACGAGAAGCACCACAGTTACTAAATCACCCGCGTCAGCGAACAGACGCCACTCAAATGAAACATAAAGCAACTAAAAATTATCTGCGTAGAAATACAATTTTTTTTTATATAGAATTGCTTGTGAAAAATCCTTCAAGCGGCCTCATCATTTGCACTGTGGGCGGCACATTTTCCACTCTGCAGTGACACTCAAACTGATATATTAAATTCTGAGAGCTGGAAAATAGCCAAATCAAGTGTAAAACACCAAATATGAAGGCTTATCATATGAAGGCTTTATTGTGTCGTCACCGGCGACCAGGTTGAGAACCGAGATTAATCCTGCGAGGCTGCCTGCAATCGGACCCAGGTGCCAGCTCAACGCTCTAAACCTCAGAGCCACCCGGTCACTTCCACACGCCTCCTCTTTGTGTCACCACGGCCCATCGTGCTCTACGTACAACTTCCCCAGCAGCGTCTCGGCACCGTCGGCGAAGAGCGCCTTCATGACCAACTCGGTGAGGCAGTATTCCAGGCGTGGCGGCTCAAACGGGATCAACTGCACACGCGGCGAAAGCACATCCCATTATTCACAACAAATTTAAATGCATGTGTGTGCACCATATTCCCAGAAAATGATTATCATGTTGCCTGCCCAAGGGCATGACCCTCACTCAAGCTCCCGCCTCCAATCTCATACGATCCCATTTCCTCTCTTCACCTAACATCAGGGCTTCATTTCAGCTGGGTATGTCCAGGTCAGTGACCCGGAAAATATTTCTTGACTTCCTAATTTAGGCCTAGTCACCAAGCCTCCACAGTCCTATATCTAGGCCTACTCCAGTCCACCAGTAACCCAGAAAATATACGGTGAGCAATTAAGCCTTGCCTCGAGTCACCACTCTGTCCTAGGGTACTTGAGTCATTACTATGCAAGGGAGAGCTGAGACGGTTCTCCTGTCTTCAACAGTATTTAGGTTGACCCAATACTAGATGGGATGTTGGGAGCTTATGCCATGGACCTGCCCTTGGCTGGACAATGGAATACAGTAGTTTACATAAATAATTGACATAGCAAATTCATTTTATACAATTTAACTTTATCCATGTCGAAAATGATGTGTTGTGGGGAGCAGCAGCGTCGTGGTTAGCGTGCTGTGCTCCCAACCCAGTGACACGAGATCAATTCCCACTCACTGCCAACATCGGTGATGAATAACTGAATCGGTCCTGGGCCACCTCTAGCTCTACTCAGCCTCAACATCAGAATTGGCGAGACAAAGGGGGCCAGGCATGGAGATGGCCACTCACCCAGTCGTGTGTCCTTCCGGCCTTAAATAGGTGTTCGCTACCGTCACTTGCACCAACACAGTCTGTTAAAAAGGCTCTAAAGGGGTTTTATTTATCTTTGTTGATATTCTAAGTTCTAATACGGTTGGGTTGCTGAATCGATGGAACCCGTTGAGACCGAACCTTGTGGCCGTTGTTCTCCAGCAGCGCCCGGGCTTCCCGCACAGAGCGCCTCATGCTGGGATTTGGCTGAATGAACCCATCGCCCTCATAGTAGCCAACCACCATTGGGCTCTTGTTCTCATAAATCTGAGTGCAAAATGACATGCAAATTACACGCGCTTGTTACACTTGAAAATGTAAACGTGTGTGTGTGTGTGGCATACTAACATGCAGCGCAAACGTGGACGATAGGAGAGACTAAGAAAGTAGAGTCTGGGAGACGAGAGTAGAGGCAGCTGGTGCGAAAAAATTAAGACAATCCAGTAATGAGATTGGATCGAAGGAAGCAGACCACGTGTGAGGGCCAATGAAGAGGTGGAAAGGCAGTGCTGACGATGATGTGGAGGGCCTAAGAAATAGGAGACAGGACTGGAGAATGATAGATAAGGCATGGAGAGGTACTGCCTATCAACCGACCCAGGCAATGCCTGGACGACACAGATACTGATGATTGCGCCTGTGTGTGTGTGGCACGTTGATAATGCAGATTAAACTGCGACCAACCTTCCTGTCAAAGGGAAGCGGGGGAACGGTTGGGTCCAGGGTGAACAACTTGGGACACAAGAGTGCCTCCATGCACAGGGCGAGACCGTCCACGTCGCGGGCTATTGGACCTGCCGAAGGTATCACTGCAACAGAGAAACGCGTGCGCCGTTAGCCTGCTCCACCCGGTAGCTGTGCAGAGCCACTCTGTTTCACGATGTCGGGCCTGTTTTCAGGTGGCGTCTCGCTGGAAGCGTGAGTGCTGCAGCCACACCCCGACAGAATCACTGCTGCTGGAATGTGGCTGCACAATAACAAATAAAATAAGCAAAACTAATTCAACTGGTGTGTACGGTGCCTTTAGACCGTACGGCCAAACAGACATGAACTCGACATGTAACATTCTTACCCCCTTTTTGTCCAGGGATGCTAGACTGTCCGCCTTTGTTACTGCGGGAAAAGTGAGATAAAGAACCGCAAGTATGAATCTGGGCTGATTTAGGATGCACAGTGCTTCTGTACTTAACGTACAACATTTTTTTGACACGTCACACACAACAATGCACTGCACAAGGCATAAAACAGAGCACTTGTTGCAACAGCACATCCACGTCTCACATCTCAGCGCATCGCACCCTACACTGATTATGCATACACACACTCAACTTGTGGACACAAGACAAAGGTCAGTTCGGGGTACAAAGGGCAGTGTGGCCAACAGGATGCCCAGCCACCATTGTCTCCCCAGTGGTGATGTTTACACATCACACCAGGTACTCAGTTCATGCTAAAATCGGCCCAAAGGAGGCCCAGGGCCAGTTCAGATAATCATCGCCAATGTTAATCATGAGCGGGAATCCAATTCCGCTTGGCAAGTTCATAGCGCAGTGCGTTAACCACAAAAACACACACACACTCAGCGCGCATACATACACAAAGACAAAGATCCCCCGTGTAGCCTGAACAGACTGTTGGGGCAAGTGCTGTTAGCGAGCACCTATGAAGCCAGCACGGCTCACAAGGGGGTGGGTGGCCAACACCACGCCCGGCCACCTTTATCTCTCCAGTAGCGATGTTTACACACCACACCGGGTACTCATTTGAGGCCGAGTCGACCTAGGGGATGCCCCTGACCAGTTCAGATAATTGTCACTGGTGTTGGCTGTTAGCGGGAATTGAACTCGGGTCGCCGGATTCGAAGTACAGCACGCTAACCGCGACACTACCACTCCCCTTACGCGCGCACACTCACACACACGCGCGCACTCACACACGCGCACGCACACGCGCGCGCACACAGCGTGCACAAACATCCTGTGAGCTGGGTGGTACCTAAGCCGCCCCCCCGTGGGCTTGAAGCCACAGATCCCACAGAATGACGCCGGGATGCGGATGCTGCCTCCGATGTCGGAGCCGATGCCCAGGATGGAGCCCCCACCCCCGATGAGTGCCCCCTCTCCCCCAGACGACCCCCCCGGGGAGCGTGCCGCGTCCATCGGGTGGCTCGTCTGCCCGAAGATGGGGTTACTGCATTCAAAGCTGTGGCACAGTTTGTTGAAAGAATCACACAACTCGATGCACATCGGTAAGAAAGATCACTCTTTTGTACCATGACGCGTGTTCTATTTACAGGGACAATGTCAGACCATTCCCCAGTGCAGCATGCCTACACTTTATTGCCAAGATGAGGGAACGCACAGTAAGAGGTCTGTGGCAGTAAGATGGCCTGCGATGCGACACACTCTCTGAAAATACCAAAGTTTGACCTGCTGCCTTCACTTAAAGAAACAAATAACATCCTGGCATGGCCCCTGGTGCACAGAGACGTCTGTCCACTGTGGATAAAGTGGGATTTGAGAGGTTTACCTTAACAAGGACTGTGGCACATTTGTCTTTGCAAATACCACGGCACCCTGGTGCTTTAGAACCTTTGCGATGACACAATCCTCCGCGGCAAGGCTCTCCACCCCGCAAATCAAACCGCAGGTCGAGTAGCAGCCCTGCACAAGACAATCAGAAGTTTTGCAAAAAATACAAATTGAGAAATACGATATTCATCGCCATTTCAGCTTGCTCTTTTGTGATTTATTGACATTGCGGTTAAATCTTACAGCCAGGATATACAGCTCGGATGTAACATCCTGTTTTGCAAGACCGGCGTATAACAAAGCCACCATTGACACTGCTCGTTAAATACACATTACAAAACAATAGAATGGTAAAACACGACACGTCACATGCATGAAATGCAAGGGATGCTAAACATCTCAAATGACGTGAGAATATTTTTCCACTGACACAAGTCATGGGCCTTTCATCAGGGCTTACTTCTTCACTGGATATTTTCTGGGTCGCTGGTAGCCTCGAGTAGAAATGTGACAAGTCGCCACAGTCATAGCAAGAGGTATACAGAACATTTATTTATACTGGAGGAATCCGAAGAGCTATAAAGCTCTTTTTCACACATGTCCAGTAGGGGTGGGTAAGAACGTTACAACAACAAACAGTACAAAAACATGATAGTAGTGCAAAGTTCAAGAAAGGTAAACAAATTAAGAAAAGTAAAATCATACTGACTGTGGTGTGCCGGATGTACAAATATTCCACCCAGACAGACCCGGCCAAAATTAAGCCCTAGTTTTTATTGAAGTCACGTCATGAAGAGGCTTCTCACTGTCACCTGGATGTCATAGTTCTCCTTGATGCTGACCGGCACCCCGTGCAAGAGGCCCCGGCTGGAGGCATTCACTTTCTCCAGAGCCTGAGCCTGTGTGAGGCTTTCAGGAAGAAACTGAACAATGCAGTTGGTCTTCTCATCCACCTCCAGCGCCTGGCAGCAGTCACCCACACAAATATCAGCACTCAATACAAAGCCAAACAACCGCTCACAGCTGTGTTGAGAAATGGATGACAGAAGAAACAATGTAAATATACGTTTAACCCCTCTCTGGACATAACCTTGTGATAAAATTTCATGTTTTTATTTATTTACTGCCTCATACAAAATGAAAGATATACAAATTTCCACCAATTTTTGAAATATATTTTTTGGCTGCGACTTAGCGTCGACGATTCTACTGTGTGAACAATGCAGGAGACATGAACCAAAGGCTCTGCTCAAGGAACTTCTCCCATATTGGCTGCTGCGCCTGCAACCCCAACCTCATCAATCAAGGGCACATTGCCTCCAGCGAAACAAATTCTCATTTTCACCGTGCAGCCTCCAAGCGCGACCTCCCAGGGGATGCGCGGCCGCCACTGGGGAAACCGCAACACCCTAAACAATCTGCTTAAAACACATCTCTAACAGCCGCCACCGACCAAGCCAACCCTCTCTGAACAAAGCAATCTGGTTAAGAGCGAGTTGCCGTGAATGCACGAGGGATAGACCCTCAAGGTAGGAGATAGGCAATGCGTGAACGTGGCTAGCGGAGGGGAGCAAGATTGCCCAGTGGCGGTGAGACCAGAGCCAGCTGGTGGGAGGGGTGGGGGGTTGTTTTTGTGGAACTGCATTTCCAGGCTGTTGACCATGCTGTTTTCCCATATTCGAGAGGTATGGAGGTGAGTCGAGGAAGGCACCTTGAGCAGATATGTCCGCAGGACATCGCTGGGCAGCAGCTGGTTGTCCTGCAGCCTTTGGGTCAGCTCCTTCAGGGACAGCCCAAGTATCTCCTCCTTGGCCTCAACGCCTGCAGCCTGCAGCGGGAAACACTGCAGTGAAAAAACATCGTGCAGCTCTGGAAATCATCGCCACGCCAATCAAGGATTGTTTTAATGGTGCTCACGGGGTGTTGTAATGAGCGTGTTAATGGGCGTGCCGTTACTATGTTTCGGGAAAATAGGGGAAATAACCTGGGGTTAGCATACGTGTCGACCCTAAAGGGTTCAAATCGGCGAGACCACTCCATGAAAACATTGGCAAGAACTCAGACATTCAGAGTGAACCCCAAGAAACGGAGGGATACTCAAGAAACGGAGGCACAGAAACCTGTCTCACATATACTGTTGGCGAAATTGTTTTTACAGGGCTTCTTATTAAATGAGTTTGCATCGCAGTAATGGGCTAACGTACGCGACTGAGTGAAAACGCCCATAGTGAATGAAACCGTTGATAATTGTTACTAGTTTGCTGTTTTCTCGTAGAAAGGTTGCAGGTAAAGACAACAACTTCTGGAGCTGACCCTTCACATGAGACCTCAACCATCGGCGGCAGTTGCTGGGCCCCTGCAATGAACGGGGGCGGTGTGATTGGTGAACAAATCACGGCGTGAGACCCTCAACATCGTGAGAAATCCGTCTCAAGGGTAATCCTTGAGACTTCACATGTATGAGTTTGGGATAGGATTAGAGCTACGGTGTTAACAGCACCAGTGCCACATTGACAACACTTGTGTTGGGGCCTATAAAATGCTCTCTTAGCCTGCCATCGGGTCTGCGTTCATCTGTTTTATGTTTTATCTGTGTGTCTATGTCTCTCCACGTCTGTGTCCCTACTGCACGTCTTATAGAATAAAAACGCTGACGTAACTATATACACAAAGATCCCCCGGACGGTTGGGGCAAGTGCTGTTCGTGAACACCTATGACACCTATGCAGGCCGGCACGGCACACACACACACACATAGGTGTGTGTGTGTGTGTGGTCAACTCCACTCCCGGTCGCCTTTGGCTCCCCAATGCTGATGTCTTACACACCGCACCAGGTATTCATTTGAGGCTGAGCCGACCTGGGGGAGGCCCAGGCCCGGTAAATATATTCGGGAATCGAACTAAATTTGCCGGGTCCGTTGCGCAGTACAGCCCTCCCTTGCAAAAAGATGATTTGTGCAACCGGGGTTACGAATACATTCGTATACAGTAGTTACACATTGGGTTGACACTGGCTAGGTGCTGGCAGGTTACGGTACAGACCTCGGTGTTACGGGTTTAACCGAGATGACCGACAGATGCATCGCCTGTGCTCCCGGGATACTGCACCACCTCACTGCGTTTTAGCCGCCCGGCGCTCCGCTCGTTGTTGTGAGCGTCGCTTCTCTGCCCTCCGCTGTTGTTGGAGGGCGACTGCCACCCAATGAACTACCACTTAGCGTCCTTCAAGATGAACCGACGCGGTACAGAAAGATGTGTGGGCTCGTTGGACTTAGAGAGACAACGCATGCTGTATACGGGCAGTCCTCGATTCACGAACGGGGGTCAGTGCCCGTGGCTGGTTCGTAAGTCGGATAGTACGTAAGTCGGAACACAATAATGTACTGTATTTAAATACACGTACGGTCAATGTTTTAAAACGTGCTACGGTCCAACAATAAAGTGAAGCGTTGTTACACTCGTAAATATTAAGAAATGTTGTATGTAATACGGTAATAAATACTGTATATTTTTTAAGCTTGGTGGTGTTCATTCAGACGCTGTCTTTCCGACAGACCTGTTCTTCACCTGAGGACGGCTGCTTGCGTTGTGGCCGAAACGTCGTGAGAATTGTATTTTATTATGTTTTATCTTTATTATTTTATTATTTCCCTTCTACGTGACTTTACCGAAAGAACCAAGAAGATAAATACTGTATAGTAGATAAAATATAAAATAAAGTAACATACCTTGAGTCATGATGCTGGCTTGCCTGTCGGAAGGAGCTTAATGAAGTCTCCACGATTGCACACACAAACGCACGATTGCACACACATGCGTGTTTGTGTGTGTGCGCACACACAAAAACGCACGTGCGCGTTTACGCACGTGTGTGTACGCGCACACACGCACGTGCACGTGTGTGTACGCACGTGTGTGTACGCGCACACACGCACGTGCACGCGCACAAACGCAAAGACCCCCCGTACAGCCTTAACAGACTGTAGGGGCAAGTGCTGTTAGCGAGCACCTATGAAGGCCGGCACGCCACACGAGGACGGTGACCAGCATCCACGCCCGACCGCCTTTGTCTCCCTAGTGGCGATGTTTACACACCGCTAAATCGGGTAATAATAAGGCCGAGTCGACCTAGGGGAGGCCCAGGTACCGGTTCACGTAATCGTCAGTGGGTGTTGGCCGTGAGCTGTTCGCCGGGTAGCGCAGCGCAGCGCTCACCCGCGCGGGCACACGACCGCGTCCCAAGCGCGAGTTCGCATTTGCAAATCAACGTTGTTGACAACAACAACATCAACAACAACAACATCTCATGCGAGCCGATTCCCGTTAACGAGTGCGAGCGTTCGCCAAGACCGCCCGCAATGCAACGGACCAGGCCGGGTCTCAGCTCTGCCCGGGCCTCGGTCCTGCGGTGTCTGGGGCCGCGGGCTTTGCGGCTCCACTCGAGGCGGCGACTCGAGCCCAGGGCGGCCCGGGCGACGAGGAGCGCCGCGCAGACGCCTCCCGTCACCAACACGAGGCCCCTCGGCGTCCGCACGAGGTCCCACGGCGTCCAGGAGACCCCCAGCCAGTCCTGGTCGCCCCACATGCCCCGCAAGGCGCCCGGCACCTGCATTTGTGGCGTCTGTGGCTGGACTCTGCCGTGCGTCTGTGCACGTGGCCGGCTAAATATACACACACTGTCTAGATTGTAGAGTCAGATATACACTGTCCTGTGTGGGCCAAGTACGGTAATTATACCTGGAACCTCGCCCTTGGGACGTTGCACTCGTTTAAGGGTGGCCGCATAACAACGCACATGGGTTGTGTAACACGTGGCAGAGAACACATCGGTATAAAGATGCAATTCCCTAATGTGTATTGGAATATCGTGAGACGTGATCTGTCCACTGAAGTGTGATGATGATGGTCATGGGGGGGGGGGGAGGTGTAGCCCTAGCGGTTGATGGGTTATGCCACTTTAGGGTTTGATACGTAGGCTTTTGCGACCAATATCCATAATACAGGGGTTGTTGTTTTGGGGTATTTTGCCCGACTCTTTACAGCTGACCAGACGACTTTGGAAGAAGTTGGAGTACCCACCCTTTACCCCTCCACACGCCACCTACCGATCGACTGCGATGTCCCCATCACGACTCGTGGGTTGGCCAGACACGTCGGAAGTATTTAATTATTTGTGAATATTAACCTCATTAAATTATACAGCGAAGCAGGAACACGTAGAGTCGAATGGGCTTACGCAGGCGAGGCATTTTTGTTCAAACCTTTAAATTTAATTTGGCTTGGGCAGGACACGTGCTGTAATTAATCTATTTGCAGCCAATTTCAATCCACGCCTGAATAAATGCCTCCCCCAGGCTCTGCCACCAATGGAGTTGTTTGACCATACTTCACAACATTGGAACCTCATTTGCCAGTAAAAATATGAGAATTGTTTTTTTACCCTTTTATCTGGCAACAAAACTGACACCTTTTTACAAGGAGTCATGTTTGCATAGACCACAATACCTGCAGTCATAATGCAAACAAAAAACATAACTCTGATAATGTATGCACTGTCCTTGAAATTGATTGGTCCACACCCAGGACAGCTTTCCTTAGAGCCTGGTCTCACATGGTGTTGGACCAGATGACGCCAAAAGGCGCATCAATTATCATACTTCACAAGTTTGGACATCTCAGGTTAACGGACGCGGTGCCCGTGATTGGTTAAGATATCACTCGCCACCCACGTACAGCCATGGCAGGGAACTGAACTCAGGTTGGCAAAGGTTTATAGTAGAGTGTGTTAGCCACTGCTCCAAACGCTGTAGTCTATAACACTGCGAATGTAAAGTGTGCAACAGTGGCCTTCTTTTAACAGGGCCTCTTCACCTTGACAAAATCTGCTATTTTTAATATACATTTTGTCCTGAAGCAGCGCTTAAAATCCTGAACAAGGTCAGACTGTTTATATTTTAAAGTGTCAAAGCTGTAGCTGTAACCAACCACCTGTGAAACGATAGCGTGGAGGAAAAAAATCAAGAGCATCAATCTCGGATAGTAAAAAATAAATTAAATGCAAAGGTGCGTTTATAATGAAACGGTTGCAACTATAAAGGGTACCTTCAAAAGAGCAGGAATAAAAGGACAAAGTGAGTCAAAATCAAGCTGGGCACATGAGGATTGGAAGTGACATGAAACGAGAGTGAGATAATCAGAGGCCGACCGGATGAAGTCTTCTTTATTTATGGGGTCCTCGTCTCGTTTTGAGGTGGAGACATTAAACAGCGTTCAAACGACCGTACAAGTCATACAGTGGGAGCCAAATTGAGATTGTGCCCAGTTTTATATTTTATTTTTCCCCTTGGTGCCTTTGACTTGTTATTGCTTGCAAAGTTCACAAGCCAAAAAAATATATTTCCCCGCCTGCTGAGATGATGCCACCAAACGACGCGGTTGTTTAATCACACCGATCAGCGCTGCGAGTCGTACGGAGAGCCACAGCACATTGCTTTAAAGGCAATTAGGGCGCTACAGGTACCATAAAAGCAACACCTGTGTTTATGCACAAGTTCTGTATATTCAGAGCATGCAAGATAAATCAAGTACAATACGCCAGAGGGCAGCGCAGTTAGATAAATTGTTATTCTGCACTTCTATGCCCGCGCGTCTATGCCCCTCCACCTTCACCAACCGGCAATGACAAACGTGATGAAGTATGGCCAGACACCAACACCCACGTGCCCGCATGGCAAGAAGAGGCCTTCATCCAGCAGTGGAGTGACAAAAGGATGTGCATTTGCAGGCATTTTGTGAAAAGTTGAGACTCGGTGAGGCTTCCCAGGTGAACAATCCGCATTAGGAGTATTAATACTCATTCCAAGAACAAGTCAATACCATGGATGTTCTCTTTGTATTGGATTTCATAACATTAGCGTTGAGCATGGTTCTCTTGCAAGTCTATTGAAATGTGCATGTACATTTATACCCTCACCTGTCTGAAACAGCGGAGAATGTTTTGAGGAAATAACCCTGAAGTTGCCCGGCTGCCCTGTCTAATCAAAGCAGGTCCCCCGTCACGGGCTGGATGGCATAGCAGGTTCACAATGGCCGTGTCGGTGCACCAAGCAGGCCCCGATAAGATTCTATATTCAAATCCTAGCAACCACCCATGAATTGATGGTCTTTTCACGGTTAGCAACCACCAGGCAAAATAATATTATTTTACGAAAATATATTCATTTCATTTCGCGAATTCAAGCTGCGAATGGAAAACACGTTTTGGTTTGATGTGACAAACATTGTGCAAAGCATAATCAAATGTGTGCGACTAGTTTCCTTTAAAAAAAAAAGAGATCACTACGTTACTTCAGAACTAGTTATGCAATTTAACATTCCTTGACAATTCAACACGGGGCGCTAGCTTCGAGCACCTTGATCCAAGGGTTGACCACGAGATGCACACCCATACGCCACTGCAAGGAGTTCCACATCGAGCCCAATATCCAAGCCACTGGTTTTGCCAATCCAAACTGGGTTGGCCTCGCTTTCCTGGGACAGATCATAGCCTCGATGCCAATAGCCAATTGCAATGTTAGATCTATTGCCAAAAAAACAAGGGCTCGTCCTGGTTTTCACCTGAGGGCCAAACCCCCTCAGACGACATTAACTTTGCATTCTGAGACAAGTGGTTGTGTCATCTCACCGGACAATTAACCTCACTTCATTATCCCCGACACACACAGACACACGTACCCACCAACAGAGAAGCAAAACACACACAAAAATCAAAACATAACATTTTATTAAATAAATGAGTGGTGTCCCAGATATAAAATATTTGCCTATGTACAGCTTTAACCAACCGAATAATTGCGTGGTAGCAAAAAGACATGAACGCTACATCTAGTAAGTGGACACACGGCTGCAAGGTTTGAGCTGTATGAGCTGTACACTACACAGCAGTCCTGCGTGGTCACGAAGAGGCCCTGCGCGCTTGGCCAATGTGGCCGAGGCAACGAGTGAAAGTGAGGCGGACCAAGCAAGGGCCATACTTTCCGGAAACAAATCACTCCCCCACCCCAACACAAAGAGACTTCTTTTTCACTGTACAACTGAGCCGTGCAGAGCCAACACGGCGTGGTGCAGGAGGAGGTGGCCGGGTTGTTGTAAGCTGCTAAAGCAGAGCCGTTGCCGCTGATGTCACGCGTACTTAACGCATCTTTAGCCCAAGCCCGGACCCTGCTTAAGTCCTGAGCCAGATTCAAATGTCTTGTGAGGACACAATATTATGGTTTGGTTTGGGGTTCGGCTCGGCTAATATCGAGTGGAAACCCACCCGTAAACCTTGAGGGGCCTGCACTTGCCTCGGCTCGGATGTGCCAATGGAAAAAAAGGGTTCAAGAAGCTATTAGTCCTAACAGCGCTACATGCCTAATAGCGCTTACAGCACCACGAGATTGCGGCGACGGTGGGACATGGCAGGAGAGAGCACAGGGGCAGACTCCGCTTGCTGCGGCTGTGAAACCAAGGCCTCCATCCCAGAACCAGCTCAGCGCTGGCTCGTGTTACACAGAAAGGGGGTTCAGGCCCGTGCAGAGGGAACTTGCAGCCCAATCGCCGACGAGTGCTAATGACGTGGCAACGTCAGGCCACTCGAAGAGCCCCGCAGCATCACGAGCCAGGGCTGGTACCCCATTCACTGCTGCCACAACGCAGCCCGTTTCGTCAATCAGATGGGCCACCAAAACCTGCGATCGGTCCCCGCACGGGCCCTCCCGCAGACAGGATAGGGCACCGAAGAACTGCGGGGGCGACGTCAGAAACCACTCTGGGACATGGAGACCTTGGTCTTCATTAGTGTTGATTGAGAAAGTCACATCTTTGTTAGATTTCATTGTCAGCGTTTTTGTTGGTTGTTTAATTACTAAATGAAATCCTGATACGAAGGCTCGACGATAATTCCACAGGATGCCTTCGACCAGACTAAGACGAAAATGCCGGCGAGATGAACACTGCTCTCGATCACGCTCAAGCCCGTGGTGGAACCCGTTTTGCAGCGAGCCACCGGCCCTGGAGGCGATTCCCGTTTGTCATGGGGGGCCGACGGCCAAGGGGTCAATGACGCATCTGGTGCTGCCGATGTCACCTGCCGGGCTCGGCCCCACACAAGATTGCAGGCCCCTGACGCAAAGCTTCCAACAGAGCCAGTTCCATATCGCGTGGACCCAACGTTACCAAATAATTCAAGCCGGCTCAATTATACAACCGGCCACGCGCACTAAAACCAAATACTGCTTTCAAAACAGACAATAAAATAAATACTTTTTTTCCACACACACAAACTTTACAACCGGGTATGTTTACAAAAAAAGGCAGCAAAAAACTTACAAATGTTTTGGATTTTTTTTACTTTCAAGGTGATTGTTGTCCTTAAAGGAAAAGGGGGGAATACGTGAGGAAATGGAGCTATTTTGGGCAGCTCGAGGTATCAGGACGAACGTGAGGAGTGAGAATCCGCTGGGTGTTTCGCTTCCCGTGCTGCTGCTGTTTGCAAAGTCGCAGCAGCCCCCCCCCACCCCCCCCACCGGAAAAAAACGATTCTCGTTGGGGACCACACCGACGAAGATATCCCTCCCCAATTGTACTCTAGCACTGCAAATGTTCCTACTTCCATCATCCCTCTAAATTACCTCTAACAAGCACAGAATGTGAAAGCCAAACGTAAGTTTACAAAAAGCACGCATTGGGGCCGTTCTGCATAGCGCCAAAAAACTTTGTCCTCTCCGGCAGAAATACGGACTTCACACGCACCTCCGTTCTCCTGGTTGTCATGTATCCATAACTTAATTCACTACAAATTCAAGTATTGTTTACAATAAAAAAACAATATAAATTCACGACTCACCGTTCACGGCATAAATTAAATAATATTAATACTATACAGCAATAGGTGTCTATAGTGGCTGTGCATCGTTCGTATGTACATGGTAACTCTCGTTTGAATATAACGTGTTATCTATAAATATCCCTGAGGATGAAGCACATCACTTTAAAGATTCCTCCTCACGACTGTTTACACGGAGCGGAAATGGCTCGCCAAGAAAGCACGATTGTGTGACGTGTGCGGCACAGAAAGTACGAAACGCAACCCCCTTGGTTGACTGCGGAAGCAGAGGGAACAAAAATAAAAACGCATACACGAGGCTTTCTTAATAACAGGCAATGGCAACAACCTACCCAAGCACCCGCACTAGATGAGGAGAAGGCGGCGACAGTCATGGGCGCTTTGTTCATTGTTGTTTGCGGTGAGGGGAGCGCGATTTCCCACCTCGCGGGGAACACGCCACAGCACCCGGCACGACTCGCTCACAACATCGACGAATCCGTCGTCCCGCCAGAAGCCGCAGCGAGCAGGCCAAGCGCCCAGTGGGTGGGGGACTGGGGCTATCCTCTGGTCTCTTCCCATGCCCGTGTCCTCACGACCAGTGGCAAGAGAGCTGGGCTCGGTGGGCCCGGCCCAGATTCCCCACGGCAGCCTCATGTGGCCACGCCAGCGCTAACCGTGCAAGCGCTGTTCGTTTTAAACAAATCATGTTGTTCAATGCAGCTGCGCCGTGTTGCCCCGGGCCACCTTCATCGCCAGTCGTGACGTCACGGGGTCAGCATGGAAAACGCAGGGTCACCAGTTGGGAAAGACACGAGTGCCCGGCGACCCTCTCTCTCAGGTCAAATTTTAGGACTGTGTTTTTTGTGTAAATTATGAATAATAATAATACAGTATCTGAATACGTTTATGCCTTGTAACAAAAAATTACAATCACTTCAGTGCGGCTGTGAAGGGCAGGGGAAGGGTGAGAGGGATGAAGAGGGAGGGGTCAAGCCCACAGAGCCGTGCGCGACTCTTGAGACAGACATCGGGGCAAATATCGAGTCGCCGAACCGTTCCGAGAACCTCTCTAGCACGGCTTGGCATTCCGCTGGTCGTGAAAAATGCAGCACCAGAGAAGCAGGCCACTCATGGCACCGCCGCTGCCCAGTTTGTTTCAACTGACGCTTGCCACCAGGTGCTTCTGTTTTTGCATGCTCGGGTGCGAGGAGCGTGCGCCCTGCATCGCGACAGAACTAAAGCAGGGTTTCCCGGCTCTCTCTGGCTCATCCCACACAAAATCTCCATTTCAATTCCGAAGAACAATCTCTGAAATTGCGACGATGGAGCGGCCACGGGGCGGGATGCAGCGGGCAATGTGGCACACGCTTTAATAAGCGGTTTCTACTCGGGGAGAGCGTTTTAGGTTTAGAGGTGGCTTCGTTTTAAAACACAATCCAGCCTTCGAAGTAACCTCGCTCTGGTTTTGCTAAAGTTCCAGCCGAGAGGATCCGTATCAGGGCAGCCAAAACAATACCAGGGGAGCTGATGTTACCTCCTTTAAGCCAAAAAGCTGTGTGGGATCAACCCTTGCTCGGGGGGGGGGGGGGGGGGGGTATAAACAGAAAAAACATCAACAATGATCACTCTCCGCTGTGCAAATTATAAACCATGTTCAGCCTCCTGCACATCAAATTACCATGGGTGTGCGGTTTCACGCAAACACACACACACATATATATATTTATATATATCAACTCGTGGTTCACAAGACGTCCAAAAATCATCGTCGTCATCGTATTTTGTCTTTCGCCATTTTGTACCCAAGCCACGTCCGGCGTTGGCACGCGGCGGCGGCGGTCGCGTGGCCCGAGGACCGGCGGCGCCCCGACCGTCTCTACCCAAAGCGCTCGCGCACCAGCAGCATCAGCTTCTTCTTGCCCTTGTACGTCTGCTTGAGGCCATCGAGGAAGCGACCGAACTGCACGTGACCGTCGGGCGACAGGGAGAACGCCTCGCGCGCCTTGCACAGGAAGTCCACGAACTCGGCGTAGTGCCGCGGGGAGATGTGCGCCAGCCTCGAGTGGGCCGTGCGCACGTACGCCGACAGCGTCGTCTCCAGCAGCTGGCGCAGCGGCGGCTGCTCCGCCGGGAGCGGCATCGACGCCGCCACGGCGGCGGCCGCGGCGGCCGACGACCCCCTCGGGCACGCCGGGCGCCGGCTCAGGATGCCGGGCGGGCCCATGGTGCAGCGGCGCAGGACGTCGGCGAGGACCGTCGGGCACTCGACGCCCTTGATGACGAGCGGGATGATGGCGGCCAGCTCGTTGCGGCCGAGCGAGTGCGCGAGCGCGCACGCCCACAGCACATCGTTGACGGCGGGGTGCGTGTCCTGGTTGTGGGCGATGGAGAGGCGGGCGAGCGCCAGCGCCGCCAGCTTGTAGGCGCGCAGCGGGTAGCCGCGGTGGTCCATGAAGCGCGCCACCGTGAAGAGCTGCAGCCAGGCGAGGGCGCCGCTGTCGGCCGAGTCGAGCACCACGCGGTAGGCGGCGTCGAAGGCGCGGGGGTCGCTCTCGCACAGCGTGAGCGCCGAGTAGGCGCAGTTGGCGGGGTCGCGCACCGCGCACTCCAAGGCGAGCGCGCGGGCCAGCCCCGCCAGCTCCTCGGCGTGCCGCGGGAACTCGGGGCACAGGCCCGGCTGGTGCGAGCGTAGGCCGTGCGACGTGATGGCCGGCGCCACGATCGTGGTGGCCTCCACGGGCGTGAAGAACTGCTGCCAGCTCTGCATGAGGTTCACCAGCGCCTCCATGCCTGCCAGCGGCGGGGGGACACGCGACGACGAGGACACGCACGGTCACGCGCTCGCCCGGCCACGTGGCGCCTCGCCACTTGAGGGCTCTCCGGGGAAGTGGCTCAGCTTGTTGGAATCATAATTTGTCCCGGTATTACTTGCGCAAGTTTTTTTCTGATTTTACAAAACCGAATTGTGTTTGTCAACAGCCACTAATGGCGTTGAGTGCAGTGATCGACGTGTTTTAACAATAGCATCATCATTATAACGTCTCCGATTGGATGAAATACATCACGCGTTTGGTTATTTCTACCTAAATCTTTCTCTGTGCGTCCAAAGCACATTTATTTGACGAAGTATAGAGGACGTCATTCCTGTTTGCGAGTAGGCTGTGTTTTGGAAGGGCTGATGTGTTTTTTATATCCATTGTATACATGCACCAAAAAAAACGTATTCATATATAAACGTCTCTTTCCTCGCGTACGAGAGTTCATGGGAAACCTGGTAGGCGTCTCCCTCTCTGAACTAAATAAATACATTTGGGTTTCGAAGTTCCTCTCCTGTTCAAATAACTGTCAAACATCTGAAAAGGAAGTGCTAGTTTATTTTGCTTAACCAGGTGAGAACCACGTATGGACGACCTGGGCCCATACAAAAATGACCTTAACACATCACACCGTTTGAAAACGTACCGACTTCCGTGGCAGCGGTGACCACCCATCGCACCATTTCCTGCCGTCTCCAGTTCGCCGATCGCAGGGTCATCTGAGCCGACTGAGAAGAGACAAAGCGAGTGCGTCCAGCTGTGAGCCCCCTCTCGGAACTTGTCCACTCGTCCACTCGCACGCGCTCAACCCCCGGCCTAAGCCTCCGTGGATGCCAGTACGGAATAGAACTTCAACTTACAGCACTCTGCCAATCCACTGCTGGATGAAGGCCTCCCCCTACCTTGGCACGGTTTGCATGCTGTAGAGTGCGCAAGGCAGTATGAATGTGGCGTGGTGTGCGTTGCTACCGTGTGCGTGCGAGTGACAAGTGGTGGGAGCGCTTGTGCCGTGTACCACAGATCATGGTGTGTTGCGTGTATAATAGCGTATGTATCGCATGGTTTATGCCACCATGTGTGTATTCGTGGTGTGTTGCGCGCATACCGTGCGCCCCAGGAAGAAGCCGACCGCCAGCATGCGGTTGTCGCGCGTCCCCTCCGTGGACACCTTGAACGCGTCCTTCGCCAGGCGGAAGAGCAGACGCGGGGACCGCATGTGCATCTTGATGGCCCGCAGCACCATCCTCACGCGCAGCATGTCGCCTGCGCACCAGCACGGGCTCGTCAGCTCAACATTTGCCCGGACTCCCAAGACTCGACCCAACATTGGCCAAATGCCGGCCGAAGGCCGACTGAACACCGCCGACAAACGACCGAAGACTGGGCGCGCTGGCGAAAGCGCCGGTGGGAATCCTACGGCTTCTTTGCATACACTGCGAGGAAGTGCACCACAACTTCCTTTGCATACAGGCCCACGGCCACATAAGGCCTGCCCCCACTTTGAAAGGGCCCGCAAATGATATTCATCCGTCGCCGCAAGCATCTTAGCCGCACTAACCGAATACTCGAGGGTGGGGGTGCAGGGAGAGGGTGGGGGGGGTGAATATTTTTAACCTGGCCACAACGCAGCGTCGCTAATCTTAGCGCCACACTCAGTCACGTCCGTCAGTGCGGGGGCGCCTCTGCGCCTCGCTCGGCGCGCGCACGTCGTTTCTGCGTTACTATTGGATAACGCCGAGGTGGTAACATGCGGCCCGCTGTCAGCGAGCGGCAAGGGCGATAGACGAGGGTTGCGATTGACAGGGGAGGGTCGAGTGTGTGGGGGGGGGGGGGTAAGAGGCAGAGGTCGCAACCGGGCACCCAATACCCGTACCCTACCCGATACCCGGCTATCCGTACCCGGCCGGGTACGGGTACCCGTTTGCGACCCTGGTGCGGCCGGGTACAGGTACGGGTAAGGAATCAAAACCCGTTTGCGACCTCTGGTAAGAGGTGGGGATGGAACGGCGGCAGCGCGGGGTTGAGAGCGGCACGCACCCTTGGCTGAGGTGAGCATGGTGGACGCGAGCTCGCACTGCTGCGTCTCCAGGTGGTCGAGCACGGCCCAGGGGAGGGGCCACGTGGGCAGCAGTGGAGGGGGGCTGGAGTCGCGGGCGGACAGCAGCGCCGGGAACCTGCCGGCAAACAGCTCTGCATCAGTAACCAATCACCATTCACACCGACGGGCACACGGGATGGGGGTGAAGGCGCAGCCCTGCAATCGCCCGCTCACGGCCACTGCTGGCGGAAGGACCTCTGACAGAAGGGAGACGTGCAGAGCACCCTCTTGGAGAGAATTTTGGATTCCACGCTGGTGAGACGGTGTCTCGGAAGGAGTTGCTTTCCCACCTGATGACGGACACTTGTGTTGCGCCCGAAACGTCGTGATTTATTTTACTTTATACCTACGTGACTTTACCGAAAGAACCAAAGAGGGAGGTGGTTAGTACCGACACTTTACCCCACCACGTACGATCGGTCAAATGACCGTGGGTGCATCTGTTTATACTGCTGCGTGGACAGAGGCGGGTGGGCGGGCAGGATTGAAGAAACTCGCACCGTTGTTTTAAGTGCCTCGCGGAGAGATGGAACTGAGCCAGCGACCTCTGGATTTAAAGTCCAGTGGTACAAACCATTACACCGCAGAGGCAGCGTCACTATTTACTGAACATTTATAGAGCGCCCCGATACGAGGAACGTCCGTAGACGTTGGTCGCGCGGCAACAAACCACCGACATCAAATACTGCGCAGGAAATTGGACCAATGCGGAGAATCACGGCGGCCACGAGCATGCGGTCACGAGTTCAACCCCCACGTCCGTCCGTTCCACAACGACCGCAACCGCGACAGATTTATACCGTCCCACGGCGGCAGCGTTGGGGAGAACGGCGACAGCGGTTAGGCTCGCGCGAGCGCCAGGAAGAAAAAAATCCCAGCCTCAATTCGGTAACTCGGGCCAAAAACACGACTCGTGGGCCATGACTAAAGCGCTTCTCCCAGGGGTCTCCTCTTCAACCCCAAACCCCAGAAACAACGCCAATGCCAAGAGGGGAGGGGAGGGGGAAGAGAGGGGGGGGGGCGCACGTACCTCATGGCCTGGAAGCCAACGGAGTAGGCGAGCTCGGCGTCCCATGGCAGTAGCGCAGAGAAGAGGAACTTGGCGTACGTGTGCATGGGCACACTCTCCCTGTGGACCACCTTACCCAGGCCACTGTACGGGCCTCCTGCGCCCCAGACACGCGCGCGCGCGCACACACACAGCTCGTTACAAAACAGCTCATTGCGCAGCCTAATTACACAGCAGTCGTTACACAGAGCATGGTACCAGGTATAGGTGACAAACCCTTCTCCCAGCTAATTGACGAGCTGTCAAGATTTGAGGGTCGTAATTTGAGTCAAGAAGCCATCTCCTTATTTACACTGCGGTGAACCTCGCGCCGCTCATGGCTGCCATGCGTCACGCGAACAAAACGACATTCTGCGTCCACGGCCCGTTTGTTAATCCACTGCTGGATGAGTGCCTCCATGAACCGTGTGGGTCGTGGGAGAAGGTTTGGCCATGCTTCACCACGCTGGTCGCACGAGGGTTGGTGGAGGCAACGAGCATAGATGCGTGCACATCGAAGTACAGTACAACAATGGCATTTGTTCCAATCCTCTACTGCCTACGACGTACATGCAATGTGTAGGGATCGAAAAGAATCGATTCGTCACGCGAATAAAAGCCCGATGCCCTCATCGCGAGTGTCATCACCGAATGCAACCGGTGCGCGTCGGTAAGCGCGCCCCCCCCCCCCGCCCCCCCCGTCACGTGGCGCGCGTCACGAACCGTCGAGCTGCAGCTCCGCCTGGCGTCGCAGGACCCGTCCGAGCGGCTCGTCCAGCACGAGCTCCCCCAGGCGTCCGATGAGCTGCTCCTCGTGCCTGCACGCCAGGCGCTGTGCGGCGGAGCCCGGCGGCATGCAGCGCTGCTGCCCCAGGCCCAGCAGCGCCACCTCCAGCGCCAGCGTGAGGTACGACTCGCCGTCTCGACCGCCGGGGAACGGCACGTGGTGGAACGACGGCGCCTTGGAGGAGGCTTTGACGGGCGGGACGACGGGGTGGCAGGTTAGGGCGGTCCGGGCAACACACGGATGGACAAAAATATCTGTGTGTGCGCATATGCACACACACGCAAACAAGCAGACAAAACACAGGTAGACAAGCAGGCAGGCAGAAGGGCCCATGCAAACACAGGTAGGCAATCAGTCATTTAGCCAGACACATCAAGACAGATCAGTAAGTCAAAACGTCAACAGGCAAACATATTGAGAGGTAAACAAAAGCCAAAGATCCCCCCCGTATAACCTTAACAGACTGTTGGGGCAAGAGCTGTTAGCAAGTACCTATGAAGACAAACAGGCGAACAAAGACAGACAAAGAAACACACAGGCACAGATACAGACACACGCACACACAAAGTAATCTCACCGGAGCTGTCGGCGCTGACCCCCGACTCATCCCCCGAGCGGCAGGCCTCGGTGAGCGTGTCGTACAGCGTCCCCACGGGGTCGAGCGGGTGTCCCACCCACCCCTCGGGGTTCATGACGCTCGTGCTCTCCTTGTGCAGCGACTCTGGAGCACAAGACGGCGAGCCCGAAAGGCCGGCACGCTTTAGCGAGCCTCCCCCCATTACGCAACAATGCAGTCGAGAGAGGGCGAGCGTGTCTGCAGCCCCCGCGGGTCAAATCACCAATTACTTTGGAGGTGTGTAATTGGATAGTCATCATCGTCATCATCCAGCGTAATCAATCCACTGCTGGAGGAAGGCTTGTCCCAAGCCGTCGCCATTGGCCGCATCGGCCATCATCACGTCGAGCGACCGGCCCCGCCCGATCCCGATTATCTTTCCGTAAGGGGGTCCCCCCCCCCCCCCCCATTCGTCGGTTTGCGTTTTTGTTCCCTGATCGGCGTGTTCCACGTATGGGAAAAAATCAAATCACTAAACAATTTTTTTTTACCAGGTAAGGCCCACCGAGCTATGTAGCTCTTTTTCAGAGGCAACCTGGCCACAAATGACAGCTCAAAGCAGTGGCTTATCACGTGGAAATTTATAGCAGCCAAATCATCTAAAAACGCACGTTTCTAAAATGTGGAGGGAAAAACCGGAGGACCCAGGGGAAAATCCACACATGCAAACTCCAAATATACAGCAGGTGTCAGGGTCGGGATCAAACCCACAACCTCCTGCATACCAGGCGAGGCAGATAACATCTCGCAGCCACCGCGGCGCGTGTAATTGAGACGCCGCCCGGCTCTGCCGCAGGTGGCCGATGGGCGGCGCGGCGGCGGTCCCCGCGAACTCACCCTTGCGCTGCTGCTGGTACTCGCGCAGCTGCTTCTCCTGCTGGAAGAGCAGCGTGGACGCCACGGTCACGGCGAGGCGCAGCGCCTCCGTGGCGTAGCCGTGCGAACGCAGCGCATCCACGCGCGCGCACGCCGTCGGGAAATACTCTGGAGTCACGGGGACGGGGCGGGGACGGGCAACAAGGAGATTCACATTTGCATCGCCCGTTCGGCGCTAGCGAAGACAGAAGGGGTGGTGGGGGTGGCCCAACGTTCATGTTTGGTCAGCAAAGTCCCGGGCGCAGAGCGGAGGCACCCGAGCAGAGTGCAGGGCCTATGAGCGGCGCCCGGGGCCCAAAGCAGAATGAGCATGGGTAGGCCACTCACTGGGGCAGGAGCGAGTGTGAAAGTGTGGCACGTGGTGCTGACGGAGAGGGGGGCTACCAGCTCATCACGTGTCCTTGTTGTGCCTCCCAGAAATGTGGCATCTCAAAGCACTGCTGCTGCACGGCTGTGGTGCGCGACTGCTCCTGCCACCAACTCACCATGCCACAGCGGCCGTCCTCGGGCTCCGAGCAGATGGGGCTGCTGCGTCTGTTGCTGCTGCTGCTGGTGCTGCTGCGCGTCACCATGGTTACACGTCTCGTAGTCCCCGGCGATGATCTTCTGGAGGTGAGCGTCCCGCCAGTCCAGCTCCCCGGCCTCGACGGCGCGGGCGAAGACGGTGCGCCGTCGCCGAGCGCCATCTGCGATCGGCGCGAGGGAGGGAGGCACGGGGCACAATGTGCGGTGAGAAGAGGGTCGTGGGCGTTGTAGGACGGACATTATTGCACGGGGTCGGACCCGCTGCGAGCTACTCGATTGCTCCCGATGCCGGGCAGCGCCAGGGACAATCTCATGTTCAGTAGCTCACAAGTGTAGAGTGCGTGCGTTCCTCTTACTGTGGTGGGTGTCATTCAATCTTTAAAAAGGTACAAATCCATAAACCTCCTCTCCTATCCAAACATTAATTATCGTGGCCGCCGTAACGCAACCCCTGTTAGTTGTGTAGGCGGCGATCACGTAACGACGCGCGGACTCGCCAGTTGAAATGGATTTTTTTCTTTTTTACTACGCTCGCGACGCAAGCGTCGATCTGTGGGAATCAATCATTGACAACCTACAGTGGCGGGGCGCGCCGACGCCGGCGTGCCCACCACGGCTCACGAAGCGAGCGACGCAGCGCAAACGAGACGGCCGAGAAGAAAACAAACGAAGAATCAAATTGTGAGCCCCTCGCCCCACACCCCACCGAACGATGAGAATTCGTCAAATTGATGAGTGGAGGGGGGGGGCGGGGTTGGGGGGCGGGGGAAGAGGTGAATTGTCACAGGCCTCATTGTTAGGGCTCCTCGCTTTGTTTCTCTGCCCCCGGCACTTCCACGGAAACATGAGCAGCCTGAAAACACTGCACGTTGTTGTGGAGCAGCTGGGGGGTTTGGGGGGGCGGGGGCGGAGAGGGGGGGGGGGTGCAGGTGGAGACGGAGCACCACAGTGCCCGGTGGCGGCGCTCGTCACAAGCAGACCGAGCGAAAGCTTCAAGCGGCCAAGCAGCGCAAGGGGCCCAGGATGGTGGATGAATCATCAGCTCGAATACAAAATCCAAATAAACATAAAACGCCAGTGTACATGCAAGAAACCAATTAGTCTCCAACTTGTCTGCATCACTCTTCTCTCACCTCACGACAGCTCAAGTTGCGTCTATATTTCCCCCATCTTACCACAAACAGCGTATGTTGTTCTATAGCTCTCGAGCGATCTCGCTCGAATGTTGTCCATTTATTATTAGGGCCTCCCCCCCCCCCCCCCAATGGGGCCGGCAGAGCCGCGACCGTGCACCTCCCGCGAGGGGGCCCTCACCAGTGAGGGGCGCGCCCGGCAAGGCCCCCACCGGCTCCAGGAGGTCCCCGCTGGGGTTGCCGTCCTCCGAGGGGCAGAACTCCGTCTCGTCCCAGCGGCGCAGGAGACGCAGCCAGCCGGCGCGCTCCGAGGGGCGGCAGTGCGGGTTGAGCACCACGCACATCCACAGCGAGCCTGGGGGAGAGGGGTGGGTGGGGGGGGGGGCGTCACCACTTCTTCTTCTCTCGTACGGCGGGGTGTGCCGATCGGTAACGTTAATACGTCCGTGCGCGGTTTGGTGGCGGCTTCTGGAGCGGGCACCGGCGGTACAATGTGCTGCGATTCACATGGAGACCCGTGAATTCGCTTCGTCGGTCACGGGTCGAGACTGCCGACCGCAGTCGCGCCGCGGCCTCTCGACCGGCGCATCTGCCACGCGACGTGCTCATGACGAGGGGCGAGGGGGGGGGCCTCAATCAATTAACGCCGGCGCTAACGCAGGAGGCCTGGGCGCCAGCTGTCCCCGTCTCCAGAGGTCCCCGTGGTTTCCGCGGGGGCCGTCGCCGCGGGGAGGTCGGATGTCACAACTCGCGCCCGCGCGTGCACGTCACGGCCCAAAATTCATTCAGTCGTTCGCGTAAACACGGACGCTGGCGGAACAGCGAGTCCGTGGGGGGAGGAGGGGGGGGTGGCGACTCGGCAGACCGCTCGGATCAACGTGTGGTATGGCCGCGGAAAACCCACCCCAGCTGTACAGTTTTCATGGTAATCAAATCATAAAGTAATGAACAGACAAGGGTCTGTTGCACGACCGAAACATAAAATAACAATGAGGTCCATCGACCCAAAGGGCATTCTGCCGTTGTCCGGCAAACACTGCCTGCTGCATTAAACACTGCCATTTTCCAGCAGCATTTGTTTAAACAACAAAACCCTGCGCGGGGTTCGTCTTCATCAGCAGGGTACGACCCCCAAGAAATGCAGCAAATTTATTTGCCAAAAAACGAGTCTGATTGCTGCCCATCTGAGATGGGCGATGTTTGAATAGAGTGAAACTGATACGACAACGCATTTCAGGGGAGCGGTCAAATTGAACGTCGGGGGCGGGCGAGGATTCACACAATGCTGGCTCTCCCCGAATCTGATTATGGGGGTGGGGGGCCGGTGAAGGGGGGGGGGCGCGGGGGGGAGGGGTGTTGGTGCTGGGGGTCTCGCACGCACCCAGCTCGTCCCACAGCTGGCGGAACTTGTCGAGTTTGGCCACGCCCTGGTGCTGCCACGCCGAGAGGCGAGGGTCGGCCATGAACTGCTCCGTCATCAGCGTCAGCATCCGCGCGCCGTTGCAGTCACGCATCTTCAGCATCTCCCGCACCTGCAGCCGAGCCCACACAGCGACGACGGCGACGCACGCGTGAGCGAGCGCGTCCCTTACGCCGCCCGCATCTCCACGTCACCGAAAACCGTCTGATCCGAGATCAGGCCTGCCCCCCCCCCCCCCCCCCACCACCATTTTTTTAATTTTTATTTCGCTCGGACCTCATGGCGCTCACGCGATTTAAATTCTAAATGGTTGGGCACGCACGCAGCGTCCTTACGTTCAGGGTCAAGATGTCATCGTGGCGGAAGTCCCAGAATGCCACCGCACCTCGCCAAGGCCGGCTACTATCCTCAGACAGCAGCAGCAAATCGGCATGCAGCGACCTCAAGGCTCTGCCCAAAACGGCGGCATCGGCGACGATTTAAACGATTCATCATCCGATCCGAGATGCGATTTATTTGCTCGCAACCCCGACCGTTAACGAAACCCGAAAATGTTTAAGCTGCGGAGACAATTTATGAACGCAAACGAGCGGCATGAAGCGGATAAACATCGCGAAACCGCTCGGCAGCGCTCCGTCGTGCACGCGGACAAAAGGGGCCTCTCGCACGAACGCATTCGTTTGCGAGGCGACAGGGTTCGCAAAGATGTATTTATTCAAATTATACCCTCATTCAATGGGCAATCTGAAAGGGCTATTTCTTACACAGCCCACTGAGATTCATTATCCCTCTTGTAAAGGATGCTTGGATAAGCAATAGTACCACAGGAGCCGTTGCTTATTTATTTACCGCTTGGGAGCTAGCTAATTTTCACATTTGGGATTCGGGCTGTGACAACAGCGCACAATGGCCTACCTCTGCGAGCGACACAAGAGCATCGCTCAGATCCCGCTGTAACTGCGCGCGACGATGCTCGTTCGTCATTCGTTCCCTGGCAACCAAAATGCACGAGCGGACGCAGCAGGAGTTGAATCTCGACGCCTCCTCGCAAAACGAGCCGGGTGTGAGAGCATAAACCTGCGAGTCACCTGGCCCAACGCCTGGTCAGCTCGCCACTGGGACCACCTGATCGCGGTGTCACGAGATCACCCTCAGTGTCGTGTCACCTGGCCAATAAGGTCATCTGATGACGTGGTGACATGGTTACCTGGTCACGTAAAATCACAGAGCAACCAGGTGACTAGACCACCTGGTCACCTTAGTCACATGACCATTGGAGCCACTTGGTCACGTACTTCACCTTTCCACCCAACTATCTGGTCACCTGCCCACCTAGTCGTCACCTTGGTCACCTCGATTACGCATCCCCCCCACCCCCACGAGTCACATGACCACCTGGGTCACACGAGAAGCTGCCACACGGGTGCAGAGCGGTCCGTGGCCTCACCTTGGCGAACATGGAGGTGAGCTGCTTGCCGGCGCAGAAGTAGCCGCCCTGCGACAGGAAGTGCCGCACCTGCTCACGCACCTGCTCCTCGTCCAGGTGCCAGCAGTTGGCATCGTCGATGGCGGCGCCCGCCGTGGGGTCCGGGGCTCCTGCAAGGGACAGCGGTCAGGAGAGCGGCGGCGGCGCCATCGGCCGTCGTAATCACCGCTACCAGGGCTTAAGTTGCGGACAGTGTCCGTCCGGGTCGCTGGTCGTGTTGCCACCCTGTCCTACTATTCCCAGGATCATCCGCTTGTGAGTTGAAGCCAGTTGCTGTCCTGGGAAGTCCGTCAGGCCCTCCCAGGACGTAAGAAGCCCCGATTTGTGTCAGCTGTGTAACGATGCACCACTCAGGGCATCGCGTTTACAAAGACTTCTCCCCTCTTCCAGTACGGCGAGATATTCCTCTTCCCGGAACAGCTCCCGCTTTTTCTGAAGCTCATTTTACGGCGACCCAGACAATAAACTCTGCACCTGAAACCACCACATCCAGTGTGTACTTCCTCTTGCTATAGCTGCGGCAACCAGTCAGGCGGTCGCCTACTCCTTTCCACCAACGGCCCGGAAAACATTCAGCGAGAAACATTCAGCCCTGGCGGCGACGGTGACGAAACAATTATACACCGCGCGCGCGCACGTGTAATACACCGGGCACGTACGCATGCACACGCCACGTACATAAAAACTAAAAGCATTACAGCACTCAGAAGAATAATAATAATAGTGATTTTAACCGCACTTCTATTGTGGCACATGCAAGGCGGCCGTATATTTCACCAGACGCTGACGGGCGGGACAGAAAGCCGGACGGAAATAGGCCGTGTGTGCAACGGACGGGACGGGGGGGGGGGGGGGGGACGCATTTCATGCGGGTGATTGGGCCATTCACGCTCGCAGTGGAAAAAGATACAACGGCAAAACATTTTCCCCGCGGCGTGAATGTGAACGATAATTGCGCGGGACGTCGTTAAGGCCGCTATTAAGGGGCGCGTGATTAACGAAGTCGTGGGGGGAGGCACGAGAGCACAGTTCGGCGTGGAGAGAAGTCGTCTAATTGCAACAATTTAGAGGAGGCGAAAGATCCAGCTGGAAGGAAAAGAGGGAAGGAAGGAAGAAGGTTCGAGAGGATGCGGCGGAGACCGCACATCGGCCGGGCAAAACGACACACCGCAGACTGCGGTAAGGAGGAGCTGAGACAAAGCCGGCTGCTGCGAGGCGCCGGTCACGGCGGTGACGGAGCCCGTGCACGGTACGCCGTTGTTTTCTCCTCGCAGAACAAAAACTTAGAAAGCTGCAACCACTGCGTTGGGGCAGCAAGAGCCGGAGCAGACGACGAGTCCCCACGGTCGAAGACCAAGAGAATGATGAAGAAGAAGAAACAGAAGAAAAAGGACCCAAATTAGGCATATTCCAGAGGGATTGCTTTGCTGGAGCAAGCTCCAGATGGATGGGAGGGGAAAAAGGCACCTTGGTCATATGACCACCTTGGGACCACCTGACCACCTGGTCACCCCCTTGGCAGAGAACAAAAGGCACTGCTCAGTGAGGAGAGGAGAGCTCAAGATCAGACCGGAGGGAGGAAACTCGAACCAAGAACCTGCCCCTCAGGTAGAGACGGGTTACAATGGGGCTCAATGTTGGTGCTGGGCCCCGGGTTGCTCTCTCCGCTCTGGCCCCACCACCTCCCCTTTCACACACGCAGTTCGTTTTTTGCAATGCCGATTGTGATGGGGCGGCGTTTCGGCACCGCGTACATCGCCATCCTCCACTGCTCTGGTTCGGTCCGTGACCACGCTGCGTGCGGCACGATGCCCGCCGTCTTGCTACCCCTGAGTGCGTTCGGTTCCCGAAGAAGCTCCCGGCACGTGGAGCGGAATGTCGGACACCATCGTCTCGAACAACGCGTCGACGGCACGAGAGGGGAGCGCGTGGGCGTAACGTACCGTGGAGCTGGTTGATCTGCGAATCGCACGACAGGATCTCGTCGGCGAGCCGCTGGGCGGTGGGCAGCACCTCGGTGTGGTGCGCCGCGATCAGGTACTGTGCCAGCTTCTGCAGCTGGTCCCTGCTGAGCTGCGACAGCGTCTCCGAGATGGGCAGGCGCAGCTGCACGCGCTCGGCGCGCCGGATGCGGTGCAGCGCCAGCGCGGCGACGTGAGCGCAGTACACGATGCCGCGCTCGCCGCAGCCGCAGCTCACAGACGTCAGCTTGCAGCGGTCGAAGCTGAGCGCGACGCGCAGAGTCCGGTCCGAGTCCGTCACGGTCCCGCTCAGGTGGAAGCCTGGAGGAGCAGGAGGAGGGAGGAGAAGGGGGGGGCGGCCACGATCGGTTTTGCGTCGGTGGAAAAAACTTTGAAGAAACAGCGTCCGCTGCCGACGATTGCGCCGGGAAGGTGGCCGGCTGGTTCAGCGGTGAAAGCGCCAACAGCCCGTGGTGTGAATCTAGGTGGCGCTGCCGGTGATAAAAGTGGGTTCCCGAGTGTGCCCGGGTTGATGTTCTCAGCCCGGTTACCAGCGGCTTGTATAGAGACCCGCAGACCGACACGGAGACTCGCTCGTAGGCGCGTATATAAAAGACTCGGAGACTTACACAGAGAGCCATCATCAACTTACACAGGGAAGCGAGTTGTGATTACAAGCGTGGCGATTTGATGCTCTGCGCTCGCTTCGCGAGTTCCAAACGGATTATTTGTCTCAAAATTTTGGCTGCACACTCACAATAAATCGAGCGAGAAAAAAAAATTGTACAATTAAATGTTGCCGATCGAAATCTCATGCGCAACCTTTAACATTCGTTCTGTTTTTACATCATGTTACTCTTATTGGTGGCAGTAATTTGAGAAACAAACTATTATTTACACACATGTTAAGAGTCTGTGAATCCAATCCTAACCGCTGCCTCTCTCGGTGCGGGAGATTAACTTGCTCCTCCAACAACAGCAACAACAACATTTCCACCAACCTGACACTCAGGACACCTGCTACGGTTGCCACGTTGGGGGTAACATACAACAATAGAAGCCGAGGATGAACGCCGGTCCAGGGTTTTTGCCATTTACACGAACGCTGCTGGTAACACAATTGGTCTGCAAGCCCATGAGGCCGATGGACACGTCTTTACTACAATATCGCATTCTTATTGTGGGAGACGTAGAGAAATTCGATGTCCTGTCCGTTCATTTTGTTACCGCTTCCATGATCTTTAACCAGAGTGCATGAGGAGTTTACACAAACAAAAAGGCACATTTTCATCATGATGTGATTTTTTGACCCAGAAAACCCACACCGAGCCTCAAGAATCCTTTTCAGGAAGGGCGCTGCACTGGCTTGTTGGGACAGTTCTGTTTTATGGAAAATTGTTCACATGAGGAGGAGACCCATGTGCATATGTCAACACTAAAAACGCACAGTCGAGTTCAAGAATTCACTTGCTGTACCGCAACCTCCTTGAGGCTCGCTGGGTTTCACCGATCCACGTGTGCGAGATCCACCAAAAACCCGCGCCTCCAAAAGCGACAGGCCAGGGCGCACGCCCCACTGATGCCGCAAAAAAAAAAAACACGGACTAAATATTCCTCGGGAAAGACATTGCGCACCGACCGTGCAGCGCAAAGCCATTAATCATTCACGCGTCCGTCAGTCAAGCGCACCGGCGCTGAGCGGCACTGGCAGGCGCGAGGGTCTCGCCGGGCCCGATGCTACTCCGCAGCAGCGGCGGCGGCGGCGGCGCCCGGCTCCCAGGATTGCGAGCGTCTCTCGTGGCCGGCGCCAGTGAGGGCCGTACGCCCACAGCCAACATTTCCCTTCCAATCACCCCGCAAATTGGCTCCTCGAGTCAAATGCAATGAAAGAGTATGCGCATACATTTCCACGGGTACGCGTTTCCACGGCACCAAGAAATAAAAGGGTTTTTTTTTTAATTCACGAGTGACCTCTTTATTATTTGACGTTGAGCCCGATTTAACCAACCGCTCGAATAAAGACATTTTTTTTTCTCAAAAGGCCAACTCCGAATTGAGCCTCAAATTTGGCCCCCCTCCCCCCCCCCCAATGTCCGACGCCATCGTTCAACATGCCCGAGGGGATAGAGAGAGAGCTTCTTCTGGAACGGCGTGTGGCGAAACATCTGACCTCGTGCCAAACAACCGGGGGGGGGGGGGGGGGTAACCACACAAATACCATACAAATCCCACACAGGAGTTTTTTACGCGGCCGAATGTTTGCTTGGGTTTTTGCGCCCATTGTTAGGCGCCCGGCGCTGCACAACAAAACATTCTCCACGTACACCATTTGCCGCTTGTTTACCTAAATGACGGGCGCTTGAATAGAACATTGCCAAGGCCTCGGAGCGGAGAAAGGATTCAAATGGGCAGGCAAGCCGTTCCACGCACTCCATGGGCTTCAATGGGGGTGAAATGACTTCTCAAAAAAGCCTCGCATGTCCAAATAACCCCACTGCCTTTTCTTTTGGATAAACAGAGCAATTTTCATGTTCCTGGGATAAACATGCACATCTTGATAAGTGCATCAGCCTTATCCATGTACCCTGGCCCATCCCCGCAGACTACTCACACACAAACCCGCATAGCCCCAATACACACATAAATACAGATTTCCACACACCTTTCACACACATCACTGGACAAACTCAAACACACACACGTCCACGCATCCCGCATACAGAATTGCACATGTCTCTTAAGCAAAACACACGAACATATAACACGACGCACGCATCACTGTGCTCACACGAGCCTTCGCAAAATAAGTGTACGTCACTGGCAACACCGCCTACCCGGCCTGCTACCCTGGTACCGTGGTACCTTGCTACACGCTCCACACGGCGATCATCATCCTTAATTTTAGTGTCTAAATGAATCGGTGCTGGGGATGAATTGAAGATGCAGCGGTGGGCCTTTACGAGTGCTGGCGAGGCTGTGGGTTTTGATGTGGGGCTTGGCTTGTCAATTTCTAGGCGAGGCCAGTGGGGTGTTGTTTGGCGAGGCCGTGGCTGTTTTTTGGTGAGACCGTGGCCGTTTTTTGGCGAGGACGTGGATGTTTTTTGGTGAGACCATGGCCGTTTTTTGGTGAGACCGTGGCCGTTTTTTGGCAAGGACGTGGATGCTTTCTGGTGAGACCGTGGATGTTTTTTGGTGAGGCCGTGGCTGTTTTTTGGTGAGGACGTGGATGTTTTCTGGTGAGGACGTGGATGTTTTTTGGCAAGGACGTGAATGCTTTCTGGCGAGACCGTGGCTGTTTTTTGGTGAGTCCGCGAGATGTTGTTTGGCGAGGATGTGGACGAGCATCTGTGTGAGGAGGATGCTCACCACGTCTGCGTCCGTCCCATCCCGTGCTCAAACTGCCTCAGTGCAGCTCCCTCAGCCCCGGGCATTTTTAGCAAATCCTCAAAATTTCGTGCCCCACTAAACTTGTCAACACACATCACCGATGTTCCCTGCTGTTTGCTATTATCCCAGACTGCTTTTGAAAAACCCCTTCGCTTGTTTCACTGTGATCTGGGGGAGGAACCCACATCCTTTTTGTTTCCTAATGAATCTCGAACAACGCCAGACGGAGAAACGTAGATTCATTAATTTACAATTGGGCATGGAGGGGGGGAATAATAACATCATCGATATGTTGTATTGTATTAAACTGTGCATGTCCGTGCTGCGTATCCATAAACATCGTTACATCGTCGCTGCTCTGGCGAGGAACCAGAAGGTAGATAGGGGGGACCCGGCCACACTCTCCGTCGTCCGTCTCGGTCACGGCCGAGAGAATGTGGACGACTCCGGAGCGGTGGACAGCGCAGCGTCGCTCGGTCTGGCTCGCCACGACGAACACGCGTGTGCAAGGAAGGCTTCGCCCGGGGGGGGGGGGGGGGGGGGTGGGGGGAAGAGACACTCTCCGCGCATTTCTCCTGTGGCCATCTCGAGTGTAATTGACCAAATCCTCTCATCTCATTTGCGCTTTCACCGCGTGGGATTCGTTAGCGGCGCAGAATCCCGGCGCCGACCGCGACGAGCCGTGCGCGCCCGGCTTTGCGGAGGAGACGCAGACGCGACGCATTTTTTTAAAACAAAAAATCCGGCCGCCGAATTCGCCGAAAAAATGCCCAACGCCCACCGCGGTGCCGGGACAACAATAACGAATCGTCACGCCACCCCCAGCCCGGCCCGGCCCGGCACGGCGCGGCACGCCACTCGCTCGGACGTCCTTTCAGGCCGGCGCCGCTGCCCATTGGATCCGATGTCAGAGCCGACGCGGACGCCGCGCAGATTTGGAGACAATGAACGGCGGCGGCGGCGCTGGGCCCGGCCGTGCCCTCTCAAAAGGAGCAGCTCCGCCATCTGGATGATCGCAGCAGCAGCGAGCGGGGGCGGAGAGAGCCATCGCCCTGACCCAGGACCACAGCCCGGAATGACGTTGCGAGACCCAAGGCCGAGGAGGATCTCGGGAGTGAAATAAAAATGCGATTTGATTGTGGAAGTGGACGTCTCACCTCTCCCCGCCCCCTGCCCCCACCCCCCCCGCCCCCCACTTCGCATATGGCGGTCACTTTGAGAGGAAGGAGCCAAGCTCACAAAGCTGAGTGGAGGTGGGGGGGGCAGACGAGACCCCGTCCTTTGTTGTCGAGCGGCATCACCGGCATGAACCGGTGAACCGCCGCACACTCGACTCCCCGTGCCCCCCCCCCCCCCCCCCCCCATGGCGGAGACATGGCTGTGTGCGTTTCATGGCGACGCCGATTTCGGGCGACAATTACCACCGCATACGGCCTTTTAATTGTCATTTCACGAAGACCTTTGCCGTGCGTTTAATTAACGGCTATCAAACGCGCCGTGCTCTGAGGCTACGGCGCGCGGGAGGGACGTGCGCGTGCGCACACACGTGTCGTCTGTGCACGTGTGTGTAGGTGTGTGTAGGTGTGTGTAGGTGTGTGTAGGTGTGTGTAGGTGTGTGTAGGTGTGTAGGTGGGGAGCGGTGGTGGAGCGGTTAGCGCGCTGCGCTACGAACCTGGAGACCCGGGTTCGATTCTCGCTCACGGCCAACACGAGTGACGATTATCCGAACCTGTCCTGGGCCTCCCCTAGGTCGACTCAGCCTCAAACGAGTACCTGGTGCGATGTGTAAACATCGCCACTGGGGGAGACAAAGGCGGCCGGGCGTGGTGCTGGCCACCCACCACCACGTGTACCGTGTCGGCCTTCATAGGTGCTCGCTAACAGCACTTGCCCCAACAGTTTGTTCAGGCTATACGGGGGATCTTTGTGTATGT